AATAATGGTAGATGACGTCCAATGTTCTTCTCTTGAGCTGACGACCAGAGTGTCTAAAAGGTCGGAAGTTGAGTGAGGTCTGTTGTGCATGATTTGACAAGTTGAAGTGAATGATAAGTAGTGGAAGACAATTCTTACGATTCAAGTAACCATATACATTTGTTACAGTATCAATCAGATAAAAGTGGTTCCAGTACAAGCTAATAACGATTCATTACAACCTTCTCCACATATATAAGAGTTGGCGATTAAAAAGAAGTAAAGGAAATATAATAAAGAATATATATATAGTAAAAAAAGAAATATATATAATATATATATATATATATATATATATATAATATAAAATAAGCAACCTCAGTTCTCCAATGTCTCACATGTCGAACAAATCGGTTTTCGAACAAAATATTTGAGAAAAAAATGCCTCGGTTATCGAACAAAATTTCGGTTCCCGAACAACATTGCCAAACCGAGTTAACCTGAACGCAATAATTTCTGAGTCGACCGCCGTGTTGTATACATTCATGTGTTATGGCGAGCTTTTCTTTTCCAATTTTATTGTACTGGGACTTTTTTCTCTAGATTGATTCCTATTGGAAAAATAGTTTCGGTTTACGAACATTTCGTGTCACGAACGGCCTTCAGGAACGAATTCAATTCGTGAACCGAGGTCCCAATATATATATATATATATATATATATATATATATATATATATATATATGGTGCGGCAGAAATACCTCCTACATATACTTTCCACAAATACCTCTCTCATAAGGGTAAGACAATAGTGGCAATGGTGTCTTTATGCACCTAATATCTAACAATTTTATTACCTTATTGTGAATATTCGTGAAAAATACGCACCCCTATCTTTGGGTTAAAAAACAGGAACAGACACCAGTCCAAAGCATAACAAAATAAGAAGCAGGTGATGATTGTCCCGAGAAATGGGCAAGTAGAGTCAAAATATTGCCAGACGTTATCATGTGGTCAACGAGCTGACCACATGATAACATCTTTTTCTTTACGTTCCAAAATGTCATAATCGGTAGAAGTTTGTAATGAACTGTTCTCGGCGTTGGCTGGACGCAACTTGTATCTCGTGTACTTATTTGTTTTGGTTTATTTAGCCCATAACTGGGAGGGGATGAGATATAGTGATGCTTTTCCCAAGGGTATTAGTGTGAAAGCAAACACAACAGATTAGGATGGAATTTGAACTTGGTTTGCTGATACCAGTTTCCCCGCTAATAACAATTACACTAACATCATGTTCTTATTATGCCATTAAAGATTTGAAATAATCTCCTTATCTGTTTCGCAGTAGTGATAATGTTTTGGCGAGATCGCTCTCCATGATAAAAAAAAAAAAAAAAAACTATACTGAATCTCATAATCTCTAAGAAGATTTGTTTTGTTTTGTTTTGTTTTGTTTTTTGTTTTTTTGTTGTTTTTTTTGGGTTTTTGTTTTTGTTTTGTTTTGCAGTATATCAACAGCTCTATGGGTTACGTAATGCCGAAATCTGAATATGAAAATTCAAACTGTATAAACAATTCAAGAGAAAGACATTATTTCATTATTAAAATTATAATCACATGGCTGCATTTATTTAAAATCAAATAATCTTACAAAATCAAGCGAGGAGTGTAAACTTGTTTATCATAAGAAACTAGCAGTATAACCCGTTTTCGACCGGGTGTTTCATTACTGGGAATTTTTGCCGTTCACTTAGAGCAGTTTAAGTTTTAAAGTCAACCCATCCGAAAACCAATATTAGCAACAACACCTGGGTGCAACTGAGGCACATCCCCAAATGGGGGTTAACAATTTGAAAGGGCGTTCTCAATTTTGCAAGGAAGGAACTTCTTCCATGGACTGTCATAATAATAATATACCATAATTTTTATTTATATCTTTTTTATAATTCTAATAATCTTTTGCCTTAGATTTCAACTCTTTAAATTGACTGTACGCTGTTTTTAACAGACATTAAATTTTGCCTTAGATTTTTGCGCAAAGTGTAAAAAAACAGTTTTTTCAATTTTTCACCTTCAAGGTTGTAATTTCTTCCAGCCAATTTGAACTCAAAACGGGCAGTGAAGAATTATCTATCAAGCAAAAATATTTCATCGAAATCGGATGAAAACTGGAAACGCATAAACGACATCCGATCACACATGCATACACACACACACACACATACGCACACATTTTGAGAATTCTAGATATAGATAGATGAGATTAATCATAATAAATTGTTTTTTAAAAAAAATATTTTTTGACAATGTATGCCATGTCTTCAATTTTACTATAAAATGTATTGATCGTCATTTTGCCATAAAAAAAGTATTGTTGGTCATTTTACTATAAAAATGCATTGTTGCTCATTTTTCTTTATAAAAATGTATTGCTGGTATTTTTACTATAAAAATGTATTTTTTATACTTTCGTACTGTTCTGATTTTAGTTTGGTGGTTCACAATTTGCCCATAACTTTGCACCCCCCCAACAGGTGCTCCCCCCCCCCCCGGATATGGCTGGACCTGGCAACAGCAGTTCAGAGGTGATTCCTCAAAACCTCCAATCTCCCAATCAGAAGCCTTACTGCCGGATGTAGTTTATTATCAAACCCAGGACGGGTGTACCTATTTGTATCCGATTTATATTGTAACAAATAATTTCTGGTTATTTGAAGAGTAAGCACAACATGAATAAACTGGTCCGCTCATCAAAAATAGCGAAATTCTTTTTCAGGGAATGATTTTTGTATATTAGCACTCATTAGTTATTCCTCAACCCACGACAATTGGTACAATAGAAAAATATTGATTCTTTTTTTATCGATATAAAAGGGAGGTGTTATTCATAATATTGATAAAGTGTAAAAATTGTTCCATGACGTTTTACAGTTAGCGGACCGACAAATGTCAAGTTTGAAAATTGTGCTTACATTATATTGATATCTGTTTTTTGTTGTTTTTTTTTGTTTGTTTGTTTGTTTTTGTTTTTTTTATAAAACTAAAAGAAAAGATATGCAAAAACAATACTGCATTTTTATTATTTGTTATTTTAATCATTAAATTGTTTTTTAAAATTGTGGAAGTATTTTGTATGTTAAATAATATATAAAACTTTTAACTTTTACAAAAAATGAATTTAAAATTGTGGAAGTATTTTGTATGTTAAATAATATAAAACTTTTAATTTTTACAAAACATGAATTTAAAATTGTGGAAGTATTTTGTATGTTAAATAATATAAAACTTTTAATTTTTACAAAAAATGCATTTAAAATTGTGGAAGTATTTTGTATGTTAAATAATAAAACTTAATTTTTACAAAAAATGAATGAAATTTTATTGTACTAAGCTATGCACCCTAGTAAAACTAACTACAAGTCTTACTAATTAAGCCATAGTTAGGGACAGAAGAGGTAGATTCAACCCTTTCCCAAGGATGTTTACGCGTAAGTGAATATAACGAACCCAACTGGAATTGAAACTCGACTCTCCGATTAACAATTCTGAGCTATTATCCATTACACCACCCGCACATCTAACCTTACAGTATATGTTATTCCCAAACGTTCACTGATCCAGTGGGGACCTGAAGACTGAACTGACATGGGGAGGGGTGCTTCGCAACCAACAACAGCAGATTCGAGGATCCAACTGCCAAAATATAGCCTATGAATAGATTCTGGTGAACAAGCCCCACAGAAAATGTTGAAATAACCAATTACAAGTAAATTTTGATGAGTATTAGAGGAACATTATCTATCTCAATTCATTGGTTCATGATTCTATCATGAAAATGATTTTGAAAGTTGAAAATATAACTCATTAAAAAAGTTACTTCATGGGCCCCTCTGGGATTAGTGGGCCTGAAGCTTAAGCTTCATTTTAGATTAATAATAGTTCCGCCATTCCACCCATCTAGGTACTGACCAGACTCAACGTTGCTTAACTTCGGGAGCCGTTGCTTCAATGTGATGTGGTCGTAAGCTGGGATTTCTATAAAGCAATACCGAATTTTTTTATTCGTAAAATTACCGGATTTTTTTAGAAACCAGAAATACTTGATTTTTATCTTCATTTTTATTTTTTAATACCGTTTTTTTTTTTTTTTTTTTCTAATTAATATCTGAGTTTTATTTTTATTATCAATAAAGGAGTTTGGTTTTTAATCTTTATATAAATAATCCTTTTTATTGTCGGTGTAAATTTCGAGCCAGAATTGAACCCGTGTCGACGATGCTTCTTTATAGTTGAAATTGTTTATTTGGCATTTGCTATGGCTACTAACGATCGATGTTCAAGCCCCAAAACTAAAAAACAAAAATAAGATTTATAATTCTGACGTTTAATGCAAGGAGGAGTATCAGCGCTATACAGCCGTCCTCTCTCCCCTTCTATATTTAGTTCGGTGCGGTACTAAGCTATACTTTGTAAATAAAACGCTAAGTTTCGTACATCAGTTAAACTAGATAGTATAGGTAATGATTAAGCTTAGTTAAGAAATACAAACACTGATTAATTCTACCTCAGGTTTTGGTTATAGACACCTCTTCTGCTATTGTTATCTTTATGAGAAGAAAAACGGAACACTTACATTTGTGAACTAAATTTTAATGAAAGCACATTTTTGTTTTTTTTAAGTAACTTTTTTAAGTGAGTTCTTTTTTTTTAGGGATTGCCTTTGTTTTTGTTTCGTTTCTTTTCTTTTTTTTTTCGTTTGTTTTTATTTTGTTCATTTCTTTAATTACCTCCACCCATCGACAAGCAGCTCGCGTCGAATTCAGATTTAAAGACGTTAAGTAAGTTTTAAAACTGATCTAAAAAAAAAAAAATCTAAGCCAGCGAACCACGAACCTCCTGTTTTTGTTGTCGACATGACTCTCCCAACACTCGCGTGGATTCACTTGCCTCGTGTAAATATGGGTCGAAATCTTTTCGCTTATCTTCAGCGTTTTAAAGTGGACCTTCGCCTTTCTCGAATGATGTCCTCAATCAAACCCCCAGATGACCGGCTGAAAGAATCCCTGGTTCTTCCGATTAAGACTCTCACCGGACCCGGTCCATCCAACTGCTCTGAGAGAGTCTTGAACGCCAACAAACTACCTATGGTGGGACATCTACATAAAGAATTCATCAAGGTAATTTTTTTTTTTATCTTATTCTTACTTGACATTAAAAGTCAACATTCTTTGTTTAAAATCGCAATCATACGCACGTTCACAGACATACACACGCACATTCTCACAAACACATGCACGCACGATCACAAAGGTACACACACAAACCATCGCATGTTCACACACACACATGTGCTCCCTTTCTCTCTCTCTCTCACACACACACACACGCACGTGTGCTCACACAAACTCACGTACGTTCACACACGATAACACACACATACGCACGCGAACATGCGCATACATAGTTTTTTTTTTTAATATTTTCCTTAAAATAAATAAAAAATTTAATTTGAAAAAATATTTAACAAAAAACTCACAAGATATTTTACTTCCCCGTCATAACGAAAGAGCTACTCTTGCTCTGGAACGTTCTTCCTTGAGTGGCTCTTGGGCCTTGTACAGGGTGAACAGTATTGTAAAATATATGAATATACATACATATAGTGATTTTTCAAGCGTAGTTCAGATGTGGCACAAGGCCGAATGTGTGGGGCACCCAGTGATGATCGAACTCACTACTCAGTTGTAATTGGTCTAGCGAGAGAAGCTTGCTAACCACTACACCGCCTCGAGGTGCACATGACTTTTTACGTGCAGCTTAGATGTGGCACAAGGCCGAAAGCATGAGACACCAAGTGAGGATAATCATTGTCCCAAATATATATATATATATATATATATATGTGTGTGTGTGTGTGTGTGTGTGTGTATGCATATTTTCCCAAGCGTGCATAACCTAAACATAACTAGGTAGACCACATATTGACAGACTTAGCAATGTTTGTTTTGTTGCTATCTCTCCTAATCCCTGTTCTTCCAACCATTTACACGAGCTTGTTAGATAGGATATGCGCTGCTTTTCTCTATCCCTCTTCTTTTTTTTTTTACAGTGTTGTTCACCCTGTACAAGGTCCGAGGGCCTCTCGATGTAGAGTGTTACGGAGTAAGTGGCACAGTTTATGCGGATATGTGTGGAAAATAACGGTTAATCCTAGACTTGAACAGGTTAAGAGTGTAGTGATCGAAGAAAGAGGAGGCACGGATTGAGGAATCGGAGAACCGAGTTCGAATTCCAGTCGAATCCATTACATTCACTTATGTGCTAATACCCTTGGGAAAGGTATGAATCCTCCTCTTCTCCTCCAAGCTATGGGTAAATAGCAGGACAGACCGGGTTCTCTAGCCTTGGATGGCAACTGGTCTACCGCAGAAAGAAATGGCAACCTACTGCGGGGAGAAATCTGCCTCGTCAGTCATGTATCGAAAAGATACATGATCGCCTAAGCGTGTGTCACGCATGGCACCTAAATGACTGACGTGCTAATACCCTTGGGAAATGTATGTCCCCTTCTTCTCCCGCCCTACCGCTGAGGGTAGATAGCAGGACGTCGGACAGACCGAGTTCTATAGCTTTAGATGGCAACTAGTATACCGCAGAAAGAAATGGTAACCTACTGCGGAAAAATCTGCCTCGTCAATCATGTATCGGAAGCAATGTATCACGCATGGCACATAACTGACTGACTGATCGAAGAAGCAACATCTTGGGAGTCGGTTCCACAAGGCAGTGGTTCGTGGGAAGAAGCTGCTCAAGTGGAACTTCTTGCCCTCTGTGTTAAATTTCCATGAAAGGTTTCCATGAAAGTTCTCATAGTACATATGAGAAAGAGAGGGGGTGAAAAGGTGTGCGTGAGAGTGAGTTGTGAGTATTGAGAGAGATTTTACTTTCGCTTTTAACCTCAGAGCCAATTAAAACATATCAACAAGAGCATCTTATACAGAGAAGCTAATAAACAATGCCATTGTAATATGTAACCCACCCCAAATGTCACCAAAATGATCTTTACGCTCTAAAGCTTCAGAGAAGTCAGATGCATCAGCAGGCTGATGCATCTGAAAAATGACCTCCAACACCGGGTGCTGATCCACGTTTCATCCGATGTCAGTGTCTGCCTCTGACATGTTAATATGTGGTCGACCTAGCTATGTCTAGGTTACACACGCTTCGGGAAATCGAATGGCAGCTCGTCTACAGTCACTCTCTCACAGACGCGCTGTCGCCTCTCTCTGTCTTTTCTACAAATACTTTCATGGTAATTGCTCCGATGAGCTGCTTTCACTGGTTCCCAGACTCCATGAATTCAAGCGCCCTACGAGGCTGGCATCCCGCTCCCACCCTTACACTGTAGAAACTTTTAAATGTAGCCGTCTCTTCTACTCCAATAGCTTCATACCTCGCACCTCTCGCCTGTGGAACACCCTTCCCAATTACTGTTTCCCTGAGAGCTATAATCTCCAACTATTCAAATGTAATATCAATCGACATCTCCAGTTACCTTGATCTATCCACTATCCTTCTCCTCATCCTTTCTTCTATCACTCCTATCTGCCTTGCTCGGGGAGTAATGCTTAATATATATATATATATATATATATATATATATATATATATATATATATCCACCAGAGTAGAAGATGGAGAGTTTTAAACATCCCAGGAAAAACTTAAAACCTACACTTATCCGAATTTGAGTAAACAGGAATATTACGTTATATGCACACAAAAAATAGAAAAAAATAACATTAATGGCTAATTACTCTTAAGCCCACCAACCACTCTTTCTTCTTACACAGAGATGGCTGGCAGGACTTAATGTATCATGATTCCAAAACTTTCAAGTAATAATCATACCGAATATCACTTTTATCACCAACCATTTTGAATACCTCGAGAACTGGTTGCGTGCATGAGTTAGGATGTGAAAAATGGTCGGCATTTCAGTGATTAGTCAAGCCTTCTGTAGAACCACATTTGTGTTGCTCCAAGTCTCTTTTTAATCTATGAAGAGATTGTCTAGCATTCATTACCATATAGAAGAGACTTTAAGCAATATTAAACAAAGATGCTGAGGATACCATAGATCGATTATGTAATAGGTTATGGCTTGTTCCCTTTCGCTCCTCTTGACTTCTATCTGTTTTGGGAATATAAGATTTTCCACGCCCTCTTTCTTCAATATATGTCCTAGAATTTTCATTTGTCTCTTCTTGATGTTATATATAAATTTCTTTTTTTGTTTTCATTTTCTCAAAAACTTCGTCGTTACCCACAAAGTTTGGTCCATGATAGGTTGTCCAGCCATTCACTGCTATAAAGGTGGACTGATATTACGCAACAGTTCAGTACTCTTTTCTTAGTTTCTAACGAAATTTTTCTGTTTCTTAATATTTTGCTTAGCTTTTGAACTTCATTTTAGGCTATCCCAATGCGCTTTCGAATTTCAGTGTCTCACTTTCCGTCCTCCGTGAAAACACTTCCCATATATTTACATTTTCGTACTTTCGAAATTCTTTGTTACAATATGAATCGGATACACTTTCGTGCATGGAAAACAATTTTCGTCCAGACCACGCCGAGAACTCGGCCTTGAGAACCTGTCCGGGTTATAAGACCGGGTACAGTATTGTTATCTTAATCAAATGTTACAGTAGCTGGTGTTCTCCCATTGAACTAATGACTGGGATCTATACTGTTTAACTTTGGTGATCGAACGAGAATCGACGTTTCAGCCGTAAGCCACAAAGATGAATGGTAAAAAGGGTGAAAAATTACTTAAAGCAACAAGAGACATGACGTTAGGGGGAGACATGATCACCTAAGTCCTGTAAAGACTTGGTACATTAAAGGAAGAATAAATTTAGAACATTGCTGGTATTGTGAGTTCAATTCTTAATAGGTCTTGTCCTATTTTAACTGACCGTTTAGCAGACGAAGATAAGTTTGTCGGTTATTTTTTTATAAATTTGCAAAGGTCATCCTCATTTTAATTCAGATAAGGTATTTGCATTAACAAAAGAACATGAAATTCCACAGATAAAACTAATTGCGTGACAAAATTATCTTCAGGTAATTAATAGAAATGTCTTGTTTCAATCGCTTAAGAGCTCGTGACAGCCATGATGTACACGGTTATTCAAATTTAAGAGACATCTTATTCAAAATATAAGTACTTTTATTCAAAACCTGTAGACCTTTATTCAAAAGGCATTTACTTTGATTCAGAGCATAAGTACTTTTATTCAAATACTATGAACATTTATTTCAAAATATATTTATTTTGATTCAGAACGTAAGTTTAGAAATTATTTCGAAATTGTTGAACTTTATTCAAAATATATTTTGTTCAAAACCTATGAACCGTTATTGCATATATATTTACTTTTATTCAGAAAATAAGTACTCTTATTCAAAACTTATTGACCTTTATTATAAATGTATTTAATTTTATCCAGAACGTAATTACTTAACATTTAAAGCTTATTGAATTTTATTGAAAATATATTTTATTCCAAACTTATTGACCTTTATTCAAAGTATATCTGTTTTCATTAAGAAAATAATTACTTTAATTCAAATTCTATGGACATTTATTCAAAACGCATATACTTTTATTTATGAAATAAGTACATTTATTAAAAACCTATCGACCTTTATTCAAAATATATTTACTTTTATTAAGAAAATAAGTACTTTTATTTGAATTTAAATTCGCCTTTATTCAAGGAGAGGTACCATTATTCAAAGTAAAGTACCATCATTCAAGATTTGTTTTTGTTTTTTCTGTAGTTTAAGATTTCAGATTTTGCTAACTGTATCTCCTTGCTCGGCATTTGACCAGATTACATTTTTTTGATCGCTTGAAAATTCCCTTTGACTTTCCCTCTTTTTCATCGTCGACGCGTCGTGCTCTGTTTCACAGGAGACACATTTTCTCGAATTACTTGGCAGGTGAGACCGAAAAGAGTCAGCTAAGCAAAACGATCCGCAACATTTGTGATAATATAATGACCTAGTTTTTCATTCTGAAATCTTTTTTTTTTTTTATATGAGGAAAGCAAAAAGAAAGAGATATAAAAAGACACTACGTGGTAAGAGTAATAGTAATATCGACCGTTTGCTTATAATGAAACATTTCTTATTAATCGATCGAGCGTCACTGTCGGTTATTTTTTTTTTTTTTTAAATCTTTCAATTAAATCAATTTTTCAGAAAAATAGGTTTCCCAGGCTCACTAACTGTTATGGCTTCCTTCCTAACCTTTTCATTGTGTGGCATGTCAACATATTGATTATGTTATTATTTTGTCTATACTGTTGAAAGTTTTTTTTTAATCATTTCACATCTAAGCAAGGCGGTAAGGCCCCTAGTACGCAGAGGGTTACAGGGAATTAAAGTGAAAGAGAAGACTGAGAATATGGAGGATTGAAGAAAGGACAAAAGATAAACGGGATTCAAGGAGATAGAAGATGGTGACTGATGCTGCATTTAAAGTTTTGAAGATTGTAGTTATCAGGGAAGCCAGGAAATGGAAGAGAGTTCAAAAGATGGGAAGTGCGAGAAATGAAACTTTGTATAGAAGTGGTGGTTGCATTTAGCTATTAGCCAATCTAGTAGCACGCTTAAATTAGGTTATGCTTGTCAGAGCAGTTGCCATGAAAATATTTGTAGAAAAAACAGAAGTCATTTCACATCGGTGAGAAAGTGACAGTTCACAAGTAATTTGGTATCTGTTATTTAGTACAGTTCTTTGTTTATGATTCTGTAGCGCCAGTCGACGAGTTTCGGAAAACGATGACCCTCACTAAGACCTACAGGCTATATTTCCTGGAAGCCATTTTTAACCATTGATATGATAAAGCGGTTCTATACAACTTACAGTTTAGAGAATTCTGCTCGAGTTTGGCCCAATGCATGACATCCATATGAAAATCTCGATCTGACGAGCTGTCTTGAATTTTTAGGTTTTGTAGAAACTTGCGGTATTGTTGGAAACTACCTTTAGCGCAGACTATTCGATGTTCAATTTGATTTATATCCTATGCTAAATCTGTTACAACTGATCCATACATCGATACATTTGAAGCGTTTAGCATTTATTAATTCCACTTCCTGGATTTTTATGATGGATTCAGAGTATGTTCCATCACTGATTTTCATATCACCTTCTTTCCTTTCATATCACACACCTCGTTAAGTATTACAGCTTTGACTGTAACTTTTTAACTTGTGTTGCACTTAAGCTTTGTAAAGGGTGTTTCATTAAGACGGATTATATATAAGGGTGTTTCATTAAAACGGATTATATATAAGGGTGTTTCATTAAGACGGATTATATATAAGGGTGTTTCATTAAGACGGATCAAAGTCATCAGAAATAAATCAGTGTTATTAGTGAAAAAATATTTATTTCTCTATTGGATCATATTATTTAAGTCATGGCAATTATGTGTGAAAAATAATATCACCCAAATGTCCGCCGAATATGATAGATAAAGAATAAAATCATTAGATGCTTAAACTTAATTCACATTTAAAATCAGTCCAAGTTATTGGAACACTCTTTATAGTGTGAAAATTAGTATATAAAGACTAAAAAAATTTAAATGCAATCATAAAAAGAATCGCTTAATTATAAAGACCAAAAACACTTAATAATAAAAAGTTAATGAATAAAAATAAAGGATTTTAAAACAGAATATACAAATGAGTTATCGACAGTAAACGTGAAGCGTTATTATAACAGTAATAGTAATGTTAATCGTTTCCCTACAAGGAAACATTTGGCATTCATTAACCGAGCAGCCAGTACTATTGAAATTTATAAAATCTTGGAAACCCCAGCAGCATATATATATATATATATATATATATATATATATATATATATATATAATATATATATAATTTATCCGAAAATTATAACATAAATATGTTATGAAATCACTACAAAATAGCCATTTCGTTTCAACATTTCTGGTGTCTTATCAAGTGATGGTGTTGAATGTAGATTAAAGAGTATTAAAAGGTTCAAATCGATGAAACACCCCTCGATAGAGGAAACGCTATCACTTGATAAGACACCATAATTTTGGAATAAATTATATTTCCTCTACTCTGTATTGAGCACTCTTTTAAGAACAGTATCTTTTGGTTGTTGGAATTTATTCCTCATACACCAATCCTATACTTGGGTATATATATATATATATATATATATATATATATATATATATATATAGCTGAGTGTGTGTCATTCGCAGACAGTACTGTTTCGCTGTATCACAGCTCCTCAGTGCGAGTAGACATACGAATGCCTCAAGCCAGGATTGAAACCCAACCGATTTGGTGTCAGTCAATTTCTACTACTCAGCTATCATCATTCGACAGAATGGGACTTCTAAATCTAGCGTAATGATTTTACGAATGTAAACAAATGCCAATCTGCCGTAGGGCTCAATTCATTTTACTGAAGAGCTTTGCATTTGCGCAGGTGGCTGTTGTTTGAAAAATATTTTCAAGTATATATATTAAAATAATTATTGGATATATTATACATTATTTTAATATTTAATTACTTATTATATATTATATATATTAAAATAACTCTCGTACTTAGTCCATTTCATATATATATATATATATATATATATATATATATATATATATATATATGAAATGGACTAAGTACAACAATTATTTTAATATATTTTTTCTTTATACGTTATTTTTATAGATACAAATATTTAAGTAATATTAACTATTTACCGGCCTGAATGTCCGAGAAATGTCATAGAAAATGTGTCCTCCGACAGGAACCATCCTACACTGAACCGTCATATAAGTAAATCTAATTAATTCTGTTTATTATAAACAGTGCATTTACTTAAATATTTGTATTTATAAAAATAACGTACAAAGACAAAATATATTAATGTACTTGCATTTTAAATAGAGATACTTATAAATTTCAATACAAATACCTGGGCTTTTAATAAAGGTCCATACCTTTTCGACAAAAGTACTTAATTGTTCTTGATTTTCGTCTTACATTTTAATTTCAGTTGTTTTGGTTTTTTTTTTATTATTATTATTATTGCAATATGCCCGTAATTCTGTTGTGTTCAGGAAATAAATTCTAGCGCTATTTTTGTATTGAAATACTTATGTAGGTATGGAGAAGATGAGAATGAAGGTTATAATGTAAGAATTGAGATCCTGGACATATACAGATGTGTAGTGCATACTGTAACACAGCGTTCTGTTGCTTGAAGAGCTCTGTAAAACTGATTTGCATAAACTAAGATAAAGTGTACAGATATTACACTCACCCTGGGCACAGATCTGGGAAGCAACATATTGAACTTACTGATATTTTCGTCTTAAGCAGAATCATTTTTGATGGATAATATGCTTGTATTACAATATTTATCTGAATTATTGTTTATGTTGACGATGTTGATAATACATCGAAATATGCACAACTGCATTTTATTAACTCTGCTTAACAAATTGTCTTTGTTTTTAGGTAATGGATGATATCAAGGCAGGTATTCAGTATGCTTTCCAAACACATAATGACTGGACACTAGCGATTTCAGGGACAGGTAATCAATATTTTGTTACTTTCCCTGTTATTTTTATATTATCATTCAGTTTATTCTCCATTAGGCCAACAAAATTATCCATTTATCATTTGTTTGTTCCTTTAAAACAGTGGTCCTTAACCTTTTCTTTCCCAGCGACCTTTTCAAAATATTTGCTCCCATATTAAGATTGCACTGATAAATGGAGCAGATTTAACACAACAGACGACAGAAGTAATGTCACGTGTTTACGTTTTACGGCGTTGTAACGGCGCCAATCACCGGAAGTTAAGTGGGGTCGTTAAAAGCCAAGGAAGCTCAACAAAGGGGCATACTGCTAAAAGTAAAATAATGTTCAACAATACCGGGCTCTCAAAGTCCCCAATGGCAGAGCATATAATTTAAATAAAATAAGTTAAAGGGGATAACGCTCCATCTTTAGCAGAAACAGGCAGCTGAAATTATGAGGAGAAGGGATAGTCTTGAAGATAATCCAAGGTCTGGACTACCACTATCGAGAAAAACATTTATCGCGTGATGGTGATGTGATCGTATCATCTACAAGGATGGTGATTGCATCATATTTTTGTGATGCAAAAGGCATTGTGTTTATTGACTATCTCCAGAAGGGTCACACCATCAATGGAGAGTGCTATTCCAACTTGCTGAGGCAGTTACGAAAGGCTATCAAGATAGAACGCCCAGGAAAACTGACGTAAGGGATATTAATTTTTCATCAGGAAAATGTTCCAGCACAAAAGTCCTTGGTTTCAATGACTGCTGTATGTGCCTTTGGTTTCGAACTGTTTGATCACCATCTCTGTTCTCTTGATTTGACTATCATCTGTTCCTTAACATGAGCGAACACTTGGCTGGGAACCAGTATTGCAGTGATGATCTTCTCTGCTGTTGATGACTTTTTTGAACAATAGGATGAAGTTTTCTTTGAACAGTCAGGTGTCATTTTACCTGGAAAGAAACAATGCAGTTATTAATAAGAGGAGTGGAAATTAATGTAGGAAATATTTCACAGCTCTAGCATTAATCCTTCATAGTGAACATATGAAATTTTCAGCCCACCCTCCAATATATATATATATATATATATATATATATATAAGCAAATATATGGATATAGACCCGACAGTATAAAGAAAAATATACTGAAAAAACAAACAAAAATCCTAATATGCGATTATGCTGTTTTAATGTTTAATGTCAACGTCGGACGTTTCGGTCTAATAGACCATCTTCAGGACATATTCATAAAACATAATTAACATAGACCATATACAATTCAATATGAAAAAGACGATGGACATAAAAAGCAATACCAATCGTCTTTTTAACCGAAACGTCCGATATTGACATTAAACATTAAAAACAGCATAATCGTCCATTAGGATTTTTGTTTGTTTTTCAGTATATTTTTCTTTCATATATATATATATATATATATATATATATATATATATATATATATATATATATATATATATATACAGGTAAACCGTTGATATAATCCAAACGAGTCCTATTAACACAATATAGAATTTGAAATATTAAATGTTAAAACTGACTCACAAAGTGTGCTAAATGTTTATTTTCATTAAACAGAGCAAATTTTTTTCGTACAATTGGAATATATATATGTGTGTGTGTGTAGTGTTTTTTGTTCGTATACATGTATATCTATGACAAAATTATAAATTATATTGATTAACAGTAAAGCAGAAAAATACAAAATGTATATAGTGATAACAGTTATGTGACTGGCATAAAATTTGTTTTTCTTAACATATATCTTAGCAACCAGATTTTTGTCTTTGTAAATCGAGAACATTGACCTTTTCGTCAAAGGAATCACTTTACGACTTTGTGGAGTTTGGGTATATAACATTTATCTCTGGAGTTGACCGCGTGTAATTGAAAATGCAAATTCGCGGATAACAGAAACTTTTTATCTGCCGATTGCAATCAATTATTTTCTGTTTCTTTTTTATGTATTTCTTTTTTTTTTTTAGGACATGCTGCTATGGAAGCAGCATGTTGTAATCTTGTCGAACCTAATGATGTTGTGTTAATTGGTGTCAACGGGATTTGGGGTGAACGATTTTCAAACATGGCCGAAAGACAAAGTGAGTATCAAACAATTTTCTTTTTGTTCAATAAAACGTTAAGTTAATAATAATCCCTATTTTTTAATTAATTACGAGGAGGTGCTGAAAAATGCTCGATCCGACCCATTTCCTAAAATCTGAAACTTTTTTGTCAATGTAATTGTAAAGACGGCTCTTTACTATTTTAAAGTACCGATTTGCAGGAACCTTCCGAATATTTTTATTTATGTAAACAGAAAGTGTGGAATTTCTCTGAGCCATCATGAAATTCCCGGTCTTGCAGAAGAAAAACTCCAAAGGAAACCGTTTGCTAGGAGAGTTGGTTCATTGTGTCATGCCAGACAATTCTTCTCGCTAGAATCTTGCACATTTATAAGTCTACCATTCGTCCATGCATAAGATATTGCTGCCACATCTTGTTTGGTGATTCTGCTATGTATAGAGAGATTCTTGAAAAAAAACCAAGAAGATTGTTGTCAGTCCTAACCTGGTATCCCGGCTACACTGTGCCTTTTCTATAAATATTTTCATTGCAATTGAACTTTCTTCTTTGGTGCCTCGACTTTACGAATTTATGCACAGTACAGCATCTCGGGTTGCCGAATCGGAGAGCCGAGTTCGAATTCCAGTCGCATCCACTACATTCACTTACGTGCTAATATCCTTGGGAAAGGTTTGAATCCTCTTCTTTTCTTCTCGGCTATGGGTAAATAGCAGGACAGACCGGTTTCTATAGCCTTGGATGGCAACTGGTCTACCGCGAAAAGAAATGGCAACCTACTGTAGGAAAAAAAAATCTATCTCGTCAGTCATGTATCAAAAATATACATGATCGCCTAAGCGTGTATCACGCATGGCACAGAACTGGCTGACTAGATTAGCGGTAGGGTCTCATCACTTTAAATGACTGCAACCGAGATGCCAAGAATTGGAAATCGTTTTTTCGAAATTTCTTTAAACTTGCCAAAATAAATTCTGATGTCTTGTCATTGAAATACTGCTCTGCTGCTGCTGTCGCTGTTATGCCTCTGAATCCTTTCAAAAATTCCTGTTAAGATTTCGAAGCAGGAAATCGACGAAGGAAAATATTTTCGAGTAAAATGGAGGATCGATACATTCAAACACTAAATTCCTCACAACAACTAGCGTCTTGACAGTTATGTGTAATGTTGCATTGTCTTACAAAAAAGAGAACAATTCACAGTAGCTTTCCTCGCCATTTTTCTTTCAATGCCTCCCCTTTAATTGGCACAGCAAGTAGTCTACATTAACTGTTTCACTTTTTAAAGATAAAAAAAAATATCTTCCTTATCCCCAAAACTGTGGCTATGACCTTTTCTGTTGACTTTCGCTTCTAGAATTTCTTTGGTCGTAGAGGACCCCGAGTAACGATTCGCACTTCGACCCGAAGGTTATTCGGACCAGCATGCAACTGAAGAAAGTCGAAGGGAACAACGGTCGAAGCGTTGTATTAATAATAACAAAGATGAAGACAATAGGCTGTATATAAATAATGCCAACTCCTCATTCGAGAAATACAAACAGAAATTAAATATTCACTGTATTACTTAACTATATAGTTGTAGAAAAATCACGTGGTAGAGATAAACACTTAGTTGTGGAGCAAGCTAAGTGAACACTAATCCAACCTTTAGAAAGAGAGCTATTTATGTTGCCATAGAGCATCTCATTGTGCTAAAGTGGGATAGTCCATTGCTTGGGCTGTGATTGGCTGCTGGTACCTGGTGGAGGTATTTCTATATAAATACCAGCTTGATTCAGCTGTTAGTTTGCAGGGTTTGTATTAAGTTAAGGCTGCTTTATTTTTTGTCTGCCAGCTGGACGCTAGCTGGGACCTTTACACCGGTAAGTGCTGTTTATTATTGTTATTCTACATCTCCTTCCCCCCCATCGCGTGTGGGTAGTGGCCTTTGGGGAGGGATGAGTTCCTTTAAACCTGGCTGGTTTTGCGGAAGTAGTCTGGACAATGCCCGAGGGTTTTTTGTCCGTGTTATTATAGACGACTGAGCAGTGTTCAACGTTATTCCAGCGTTGAATGTTTGTGGCACTGGTGTAGGGGTCTCAGGTAAGGCAGTAGGTCAGCCTGGAGTGTGTCATTTGCTATTCCACGGATGATCTGGTCCTTGATGTATATATCAGACAGGTCATGCTCACACGAGGGGCAGGTAAAGTTACAATCAACAGCTACGGCTCTGAGGCGGACAAGGTAACTTTGTATTGGCTCATCTGCATCCTGAGACATGGAGGAAAAAGCAAGGCGATGGACAATAGGACTTGACCTCTGGGTGACCAACGTTTCTACCATGTCAAGTAGCTTATCTGGATCAGTGGTAAAGAAGTTAGGGTGTGTGTTGATTATGGCGTTTTGCACAGTCTCATCAGCACAATTGTATAGGTGAATATTAGCTTGGGAGCTTGGCATATTTGTCATCTTGGTAAAGACATCCCAGTCAATTCGGAACTTCCTGAATTGTTGTGGTGTCATCTCGAGATTGAGATGGGGAGTTTTGACAGCAAGCTCTGCCCGACCATTGGATTGTGGGTAACCTGCAGATGATAACCTGTGTTTGACAGCCCAGTCTTGTAAAAATTGCTTGAATGTAAAGGATGTGAAGGGTGTCCCACCATCAGTGCTGAGTTCCTCAGGAGCACCGTAGGCTTGAAATATGTCTCGGCAAATTGAAATAATCCTTGACGCATTAGCTTCTCCGTGGCTCAAGTGGTATAGATTTAGCCAGCCTGTTAACCTGTCAGCACATGCTAAGTAACCATGGTTCCCAACATGGAAGATGTCCATGACGATTTGCTGAAATGGCCAATCAGGAGATGGTATCAAAACATTGATAGGCTCCAGAATTGGCTATTAAATCAATTCGCCGAAACGGCGTTCAAAAATAATGTTGGAAGTTGTCCCTCAACTTTGCATTGTTTAGGGCCCGCGTCTGATTTTTTATGTGTACTTGTCGAGGGCATGTGTTGCATTGCTGTTTGGGGTAATATTGTAGTCGTTGGGTTTGGGAAGTCTTTTGACAGTATCCCTACGTCAATGCAGGCTGCTTTGCTGAAATATAGCCGCTTGATCTTTTTGCATATGTATAGGGCTTGTTTAGTTGTCCTTCCTTGGACGATGAATTCCACGGGGAGCCAACCCTGACATACGAGGGTAAAGCCTCCCACAGCTCGGACGACTTTTTTTGATGGAATGAGGTTGTTGGTAGTGAGCCCCATATTCAGAAGGTGCTTAAGTCCTCCGAGACATATGGTGGCCCCACTGTCAGGAAAGATTGTCATCCTAGTGCTGTGATTTCTGGGGATATTCTTAACTTGTCTGGGATCCGGTTTTGGCGAGAATGGAACAACATATGCATCAATTTCTCTTACCTGGCCTGTGTCTTTAGATGTATACGTGCCCGTCATTTGATTGAATGTAATGTGGGCGATAAGTGTGTCCATGGCGGCTTCATTAGCCTCTGGGCTTTTCCTTACTGCTTGAGCCAGTTTCTTAGCCCGGCATACCCTCGGTAGGTGATTGGGCTTCCCACAATTACTACATGTTTGTCCCAATGCTGGGCATTTTAGCCGGCGGGATCCAGTTCCTGAGGTGCCGTGCTGGTGGCTGCCACAACCTAAGCAAGCCTGGTGGTTTGGTTTAACACTGCAGTTGCAATAGGTGCTGGTACGGATCCCCTCATTGGCTGGTGGCGTACCCTTCTGTCTGCGGTATGTTGATAGCCGAGCAGTGGCTGTATCTGAAGCGCCAGCCATTGAGGTTTGGTCTCGCAATGCTGATTCAAATGCCTCAGCATGACGGATATTTTGCTCAAGGGATTTAAGTGCCCCAGCTTTGGCCAGTAGGTCAGCCTGGAGTGTGTCATTTGCTATTCCACGGATGATCTGGTCCTTGATGTATATATCAGACAGGTCATGCTCACACGAGGGCAGGTAAAGTTACAATCAACAGCTACGGCTCTGAGGCGGACAAGGTAACTTTGTATTGGCTCATCTGCATCCTGAGACATGGAGGAAAAAGCAAGGCGATGGACAATAGGACTTGACCTCTGGGTGACCAACGTTTCTACCATGTCAAGTAGCTTATCTGGATCAGTGGTAAAGAAGTTAGGGTGTGTGTTGATTATGGCGTTTTGCACAGTCTCATCAGCACAATTGTATATAGGTGAATATTAGCTTGGGGCTTGGCATATTTGTCATCTTGGTAAAGACATCCCAGTCAATTCGGAACTTCCTGAATTGTTGTGGTGTCATCTCGAGATTGAGATGGGGAGGCTTGGCTGCTAGTGCCTGAATACGGGTTGTCTGAGTGGTGGCTTCCTTAGCCTGCTTGATGATACACAGGGCTTCTCCCATTAATGCGACTCCGAGCTCCCTAAGCATGGATCGATCCAGCATATGAAGGTTCTCGATTGTCAGTTTCTCGTCTGCAAACCTTGTTGCATGAGTTTTGGCCGAGTCAGTGGATAGGCCTGCTTCAATGAAGAAGAGCTCCCAATCTTCGGGTGTCATATATCCTGTTCGCAGCGCCATGTAGAAAAATCACGTGGTAGAGATAAACACTTAGTTGTGGAGCAAGCTAAGTGAACACTAATCCAACCTTTAGAAAGAGAGCTATTTATGTTGCCATAGAGCATCTCATTGTGCTAAAGTGGGATAGTCCATTGCTTGGGCTGTGATTAGCTGCTGGTACCTGAGTGGAGGTATTTCTATATAAATACCAGCTTGATTCAGCTGTTAGTTTGCAGGGTTTGTATTAAGTTACAACCTGCTTTATTTTTGTCTGCCAGCTGGACGCTAGCTGGGACCTTTACACCGGTAAGTGCTGTTTATTATTGTTATTCTACAATAGTGAATTTAAATAACAGGTAATCGTGAATCAAAAAGAAATATGGTCGCCCAAGTGTGTCACACCCGCTCCTAGCAACACGCATTGGGCTAGCCTGATAGGGTAATGGTCCATTCCTTCCCATGAATTTCAGGGAAGGCCTACGTTCAACAAAGGATCTTCAAAGGCTGAGAAGAAGAAGGAGGAGGAGGACGAAGAAAAAGAAGGACGGTGACGTAGAAGGAGGAGGACGATGAAGAAAGAGGAGGAGGAGGAGGATGACAACGAAAAACGGAGGAAGAGTGCGAAGAAGAAGGAGGAGGAGGACGAAGGAAAAGAAGGACGGTGACGTAGAAGGAGGAGGACGATGAAGAAAGAGGATGAGGAGGAGGATGACTACGAAAAACGGAGGAAGAGTGCGAAGAAGAAAGAGGAGGAGGACGACGAAGAAAAAGAAGGACGTTGACGTAGAAGGAGGAGGACGATGAAGAAAGAGGAGGAGGAGGAGGATGACTACGAAAAACGGAGGAAGAGTGCGAAGAAGAAGGAGGAGGAGGACGAAGAAAAAGAAGGACGGTGACGTAGAAGGAGGAGGACGATGAAGAAAGAGGAGGAGGAGGAGGATGACGACGAAAAACGGAGGAAGAGTGCGAAGAAGAAGGAGGAGGAATACGAAGAAAAAGAAGGAGCAGGAGAACGACGACGAAGAAGGGGGAGGACGACGATGAAGAAGAAAGCGGAGGGCGAAGAAGAAGGAGGAGGAGAACGAAGAAGAAGAAGAAGAAAAGCAGGAGGAGGACGAAGATAATGAAGAAGAAGAAGAAAAAGAAAATGGCACAACTAATTTTGCATATCATTTCATAATATCAGTTTGCATAAATGTCACTCCTTTCGCACACCCGGACCGCCTCTCTCACCCTCAAGTTCTGTCAATGATTAACAATAATGAATTTTTGGGTGTAGTGATTTTTTTTTATGCGTTATCAACCCTTTGTGGGTCATTTAAAGCCAAAATATATTTGGGGATGTAAGAATATTTTTTGAAAGTGAATATTGAATAATATAGAGAGAATTATAATTTTTCCAGATACAAGTTTCACTATTTAATCCATAGGTGCGCGTAATGACACAAACTCGATTGGAAATTTGAACTCGGCTCTCCGCTTTCTTATTCCGAGTCACTTCTCCATCACACCACCCGCACATCCGTGTGTGTTGTGGTTCCGGTAATCTTCTTAATTCCAAGCTGTATTTCCCGTTTTCTGTTCAAATTGAACAATTTTCCTTTTTCACATTTAGTCGACATAACCTGCAAACAAATGCATTGCTGTAAGGTACCTCCGAATATGGCATTGGTCTCAGGCAACCGTATTTTTTTTTTTTTTTTTTTTACCTATTTAGATGCTAATGTGAAGAAGATGATGAAACCAATGGGAGAGACGTTCACCTTGGAAGAAATCGAACAGGTATGATTTCGAAAGTTTGTCTTTCACGGGTGTTTTGCATGATTTCCTAAAAAAAAAAAGGATCAAAGGCTTGATACCGTAATTTCCCATGTATAATACGCCTTCATCCAAAATTTGTGCTGAATGGGTGGGAAAATGCTTCTACTCCCGCATAATACGCACCCCTTGTTTGCTAATCAAACCCTATAAATTGTATATCTCCAATTTCATTACGGCCAGCGTTTCCTACTCTTATTAAAATCGTTTTAAATATAGAATAATATTATTCTAATTTAGTTTTATGATAATTCTTATTTTATTTCACATTTGTAAGTATTGTTAAATACATGTGATGGTATTTGACATCCATATGGGGTCGCAATCGCCGAATCTTACTATTAAATTGTCGTATGTTTGTGGTGAGTAGTCATTTCGCAACTTAAATCGTTCTATAAAACTGCAATTTTTTGAAGATTTTTTCTAGCTGTGTATAATACGCACCCATAATTTTGCTTATTATTTTTTAATAAAAAAAATGCGTCATATAAATGGGTAATTACGGTTTTTGTCATGAAATCTTGGAAAATTATTTTTCTTCAAATGTTATGGGAAAATATTCTACATGGGTATTATATAAATAAAATTCAATATGGTTATATACTGCCTTTTAAGCACATCCTTCTCGTTTCAGATTCTAGAAAGTTCCTAACTGATCAGTTTCGTTTCCAAAACGTAAACAAAGCAATTTCTAAAGAAGTAGTGCATTTTGATTTTTACTCCGACATATTTTTATGACTCTAAATGTTATCTTTTAGTGGATACCCATATTTGAGGTTTTTATCACGGTTTCTATTACAAAGAGGGACGTAGGAAATGCATTATATATATATATATATATATATATATATATATATATATATATATATATATATATATATGCGTTTCATTGAATACGACGGTGCTTTGATTTAGTTTTTTTATACAGTTTCTCATGTGATCTTATTATTTTTCCTTTTCGGAGGATAAATTATATAAAAAACATCCTATTGATCTTTCTTTCCGAGCGATTTCGGCTATGTATTTAGCTATTTTCAAGATGGAAGCCTTATTAATAAAAACAAAAAAACAACACTCAATAAGATCAACTATGAACATGGACACAATATCTTGACCGTGTTTTGAAAATGAAAACATTATATAAATACATAAATACAACAAACTATTTCTTGTTAACAATTAATATATCAAAACCTTGAAAATGTAATGTACATCGGATTTTATACTACCTGTTATATATATATATATATATATATATATATATATATATATATATATATATATATATATATATATCTGCACCACGGATTATTTCAAATATCTTTTTTTTTCTACAAGGAATACTCCCTGTCCGAACCAACATATATAGTTATAAACGTTTTTTATAAATAAAAAGAAAACAGTTAAATTCAAAAGTTCTATTATTTAAAATATATAATACATAAATTACATAAAAACTAAAGTAATATAAATAATAATTACATTATAAAAAAATTCAAAATAAGATCATTTACTCACTTTCGTTTAATAGACATTAAATTACGTCACTTAGAATCCTCCATAATTTACCTTGACTTTCAGTTAGCCCTGATGTCCATTTATGAGAGTTCTTAAATTTTAAAAGTTTGAAAAAATAACAGCGTTTTTACTTCTGCTTATAAAATTATGTTGCAAAAAATATCCTTAGATTTGCCTTGAAACGAGTGGGCTAAAAAAATTCGTTTTATTTTCATTCATGTATCTGTGATACAGCGAAACTGGCCTGTATGTGGATGACATATATATGTGTGTGTGTGTGTGTAAAAAGTGTATATAAATATAAATAAATATATATATGTATAATTATTTATATATTATATGCGCGGTACTTTAATATCAGAGATAGAGCTAACATATTTGGTTGGATAGATGTGAGTTTGTGACCCTTGGTTTCACGCTCTCTGACGATCGCTAAAGCGTGAAACCCAGGGTCACAAACTCACATCTATCCAAACAAATATATATATATATATATATATATATATATATATATATATATATATATATATATAGTGTAACCCGGATATAAGAGAGTTGTCGGGACCGAAGAAGAAGTCTCTTATATCCAGGTTTCTCTTATATCCGGGTTTGGTCTATTTTATATACATTAACACAGGCTCTAATTTGGGACCAGAGAAAATCTCTCTTATATCCGGGTTTCTCTTATATCCGGGTTACACTGTATATATATATACGGATGAAGATAAAACGATATTTTTTGCAAGACTCTCCTAATGGATTGAGTTCTCTAAGTTACTGGCGTGTTTATGAAAAAATAAATACGCAAAAATTCGCCTTTCTCTCTGCCGGGCGCCGATAGCCTAGGGATTAGAATCTTCGACTGATGCCAGATCGGTCAGGTTTCAGTCTTAGCTTCAAGCGATCGGATGTCTATCCACACTGATGAGCTGTGATACAGCGAAACAGACTCTCTGTGGATGACTATATATATATATATACTAGCAGTAGAGCCCGGCGTTGCCCGGGGATGTAACAGTAAGTGATAGATCAAGTATCGACCATCATAAAGACTGAAAAATAAAATTGACAAAGATTATTGTTTACGGTTGATGGACACGCATGTCTTAATTAGTTTTTTTTTTTTTTTTTTTTTTTTTACAAATTGGTCAAACCAAAACTGAAACAAAAACATTGTTTTCAATCGTTATGAGTCTACCGATTGGATAGAATTTTATTATTAACAATTGTCTTGTAAATGGAATTTTTAAAGCATTCTGAATGTAAATAAAAGTGTGCAAGACAATAAGAAACACTACCTGCAAAAAAAAAAGTGAAGTTTTGTTGAAATCGGTTAAAAAACGTAGGAAATCCGATACCATATATAAACGAACACACGCATACACACACACACACACACACACACACACACACACACAACCTGGGTTTTATAATAAGTATGAGATATATATATATATATATATGGTTGTCCGAAAAGTTCATGCCGATTTTTAGTCGTTCATGTTCCATTAGAACACTTCAAAATTTATCGACAGATATAATATGCTTACATTTCCGATTAGAGCACACTTCAAACTATCTCTTGAGAAAGAAATTTAAGACATTTGATGTATTTTTGTTTTACCGTAAAAGAAAATTTTAGACACTTGATGCATTTTTTTTTTTTTTTTACCGTAAAGACGAAAATTCTTCGCAAACAACAAAAATGATATGTGTTGTGTAGGGTGAAGGGGCTTTAGCTGAGAACTGTACGGAAGTGTTTCGCTTAGTTTACAGTTGGTGATTGCAGTCTTATTGATGAAGAACGCTCAGGCAGACCCCCCACTACAGATTGCAGCGAAATCAAGACATTGATTGAGAATAACCCGCATTACACAACACAGGAATTGGCACGAAAAATAAATTAATCAAAATCGAGCATCCATGAGCACTTAGTGAAGCTTGGGTACTCAAATCGCTCCGATGTTTTGGTACCACATGATCTAAACGAAAAGAATCTTTTGGATCGCATTTCATCTGTGATTTTCTGTATAAACGTAATGAAAATGTACCCTTCTTGAAGCAAATTGTGACAGGTGATGAGAAATGGATCCTAAGAAAATCATGCTGTGCATCTGGTGGGATTGGAAAGGAATCCTGTACTATGAGCTTCAGTCAAGTAACCAGTCAATTGATTCTGAAAAGTACTGCTCGCAACCGGACGAATTAACGGCAGTAATTCAAGAAAAATGCCCAGAATTGGCGAACAGAAAAGGTGTTGTTTTCCATCAGGATAGTGCCAGACGTCGCGTTTCTTTGGCGACGCGGCGAAAATTGTTGCAGTATGACCTCACTATTCACCAGGAATTGCACCTTTGGATTTTCATTTATTCAGGTCCTTGCAAAATAATCTTTTAATTCTTTCGATAAAATAAAAAAAAAACCTTAATAAGTTCTTTGCCGAGAAATAACCAAAATTCTGGGAAGATTGAATCTTTAAGTTGAAGGCAAAATGGGGAAAGGTTATGCAACAAAATGGTTCATATTTAGTTGAATAAATATTTAAGGGCATAAATTTGTTTTGTGTTTTATTTTCCCTTAAATATCGACATGAACTTTTCGGACAACACAATATATATATATATATATATATATATATATATATATATATAATTATATATATATGATATGATATGACATAACGATATATAATTTTATATATCAAGAAAAAATATTGAGAATGGTATGACAAATTGGGAAAAAAAACGTTTTTTGTAACGCGTTTCATCCGTTGGGACTTCATCGGATGAAACCCGTCACAAAAAAAAGTTTTTTCCAATTTGTCATTCTAGTTTCAATCACACACACACACACACACATATATATATATATAGTGTTACAGCCTCTGTCTGTCTCTTTGTTATCGAACTCCTCCTAGGGCTTTTGAGATAGACACCACCACCCCCGCCCCGGCGAGCGACAGTTTTCAGGCCTGAAGATTGCGTTCACGCATGAAATAGACTGTCGCTGCTCGGTGCTGAACTCAGTGTCCACTTCTATATTTATATTTACACACGCACAATCCGTAATATTCATCACGTTTATCCATAGAGATATTAGACCTTAAAACTATATGTGGGACATCATCAAGGCAGACGCATCAGCTAAGATAAGTTTTCATTTTGTCTTTATTATTCATAGTCTTTTTAAAGATATACTCTATCCGAAACTTTTATACACACACACACACACACACACACACACACACACACATATATATATATATATATATATATATATATATATATATACAAACCAGATACGCCCTTAATTTATACATATCTTTGTTTATGATTATTTTATTTCTTTTCAGCATCTTATGACCCACAAACCAGTTTTGCTCTTTCTAACGCAAGGAGAATCTTCGGCAGGAACGCTTCAAGACTTGAAGGGTGTCGGCTACTTATGTCATAAGTAAATGTTAAGTTTAACTCGAATTTATCCAACCTTTTCCACCCTCTTTCGCTTCATAAATAATTTGTTAAGTTCCTGGTCCGACCATCAATATTTTTCGGTTTATCGTACCGAACTTAATCAACTCAGTCATTGCGAGGGTCTGTTCGGCACATATCCGGCCATTTTATGTATCTCAAGAAACGGTGACGTTGCCTTGATGTAAGTTGGAACCCACTCAAAAGAAACAGAACAGAAACTCTGCCGTGAATTTATTCAGATAACACAGATGTTTTTAATTGTGCTAGTCCATGTAGCATGATCGTTGCATTCTGAATGACCAAGCAAGTAGTATATGTATATATATATATATATATATATATATATATATATATATATATATATATATATACATATATATATTTATATATATATATATTTATATATATATATATATATAAGATCAAAGACATTTTCGATAAACCACCCACAAATGCAAAGAAACAATCACCTAACCTATCAGCTATCCTCACCTCTACCAAATATCTAAACAATGCAAACCAATCAGGAAATTACAAATGTAACAAACCTCGTTGCTTAGTTTGCAAACATTTAATAATAGATAATATATTTTCTGTACCAATATCAAGATACACCCACCTAACCTCACCTGCGATAGCCATAACGTAATCTATTATTTATTCTGCACCTCATGTCCTAATAGTGGATATATTGGTGAATCTGGAAATAATTTTAGATTTCGCTTCAATAATCATAAACAAACCATACATCAAAACAATCCTTATTCCCCCATAGCTAAACACTTTAATCAATCAGGACACTCATTAGAAAACTGCAAATGTTTATTGATAGATTCTGATTTTAGTTCCACATACACACGCAGAAAATTAAATACATATAAACTAGGGTTAAATAAAGACTTAGGTATTTTAAATCTTTATAAGTATTTCAATAATTAAGCATTTTTTTAGATATAGTTAAAAAATTTTTTTATTTTTTTAAACAACATCTAAAATATTTATTACAGTTAGATTTAAGTTAGGAATATCCGAATAGTGACGTTCCATATCACGTGACGTCCTTGTCTCACGACGCATGCTACTTGCTAACAAACAGTAATTTTAATTTATTTGTAACAAACAGTTATTTCTGATGAAAGATTGAGGGCAATCTGAAATATCAAATATATATATATAAATAAATAAATACTTTCATAAAATAAAACATTATTATTTTTTTAATTTGCAACTTTTCTATATATATATATATATATATATATATATATATATATATATATATATATATATTTATATATATATATATATTTATATATATTTATATATATATATTTATATATATATTTATATATATATATATATTTATATATATATATTTATATATATATATATATTTATATATATATATATTTATTTATTTATATATATATATATATATTTATATATATATATATATTTATATTTATATATATATTTATATATATATATTTATATATATATATATATATATTTAGATATATATTTTAGATATTTATATATTTTATACATATATTTATAGTTGATTAATACCACAAACTCGCTTTCCTCTTTGAAAATTATACTTAAACATGAAAGCAATAGACAAAAACTAAAATTCTTGAAGCTATATACTTAAACAGCTGGAACCTAACCTGAACAAAATAAACTATGAAATCTCCACAAATATTCTTAAATACCTATAACTGATGACAGAGGCCATTGGTTTATACCAACAGATTCCCATTCTTAATACTTCTCGTTTGGTCGAATGCGTGCTCATGTGTGATGTCATGAGCTGCGGTGCAATTTTCGCTTCCAGCGTCTCGTGTGCACGAGTTTTCGTTGTTTGCAAATCTTCCATGATAACAAAAATAGACTATTATTATTGATTTGCCCGTGTGTTGGTTAATATATTGTAACGTAATTGTCATCTTTGATAATGGCTTATGTAATCAACATTCCACCGCAGGTGCTAGCTCAAATGCCGCCCGATAGGGTGGCCTTGAAGCTAGTATATATATATATATATATATACGCTAAAGTTTAGGGCTACCCTCTGCGTTTTTAAGAATTGCCTGAAAATTGAAGGTTGTGTGCCTTTTTTCCAAACTAATTTACTTGCTCATTTCGGGTCAGAGATATCTTCTTTTCCTGAATGGATTAGTCATATGTTCAATAATAATAATAATAACAAAACATATTTACTCCAAATTTTATGTCTTTTTTGCTAAATCTAACATGTTAACTAATGTTAATCTGCTGAAGAATTTAAATTTTAGGTAACATCTTCTCTAAAAAAAAAAAATGGACGCCATAAACTAATAGCTTAAATAGTTTCAGTATCCTAGCTTAGTTGGGGTTAATTAAATTAAAAGAAGAAGGTATGAAGATCTCTAATCATTAAATCCAGCCCCAAATTGTGGCATATATATATATATATATATATATATATATATATATATTTATATATATATATATATATATATATATATATAGTACATTTAGGCAGTAAGCGTTCATCCAAACAAGTTTAATTTGTCGGCTCTTTTTATATGTATAACAAATGTTTAAATTTTTTCTTCCAGATACGATTGCATTTTGGTTGTAGATTCCGTGGCTGCCCTTGGGGGAACGGCCATGTTTATGGACGATTGGGGTAAGATTTTTTTTCCATCTTTTTTCTCGCCATATTAATTGTTAATTCTAGATATATATAAAAAAAAAAAAAAAAAAAAAACTTTCTGCGAGATAAGACATTACACTACAAGTAAATACCCAGGAGATATTAAGCTTACGTCACAATATACTTATGTCTAGGTTGTTGATATGCAACTCCGTCGTCATTTGGCTACTGCACATATGTCTGTGTGTGTGTGTGTGTGTGGTGTGTTAATCTTATCTTCCACGATAGAAGCGACCAGCGAACGTGATAGACAGATAAATCTGAGGATTAACTAGATAGATAGATAGATCTGAGGAGTAAACTAGATAGATAGATAGATAGATAGATCTGAGGAGTAAACTAGATAGATAGATAGATCTGAGGAGTAAACTAGACAGATTGATAAACAGACAGATAGATAGATCTGGACAGACTGAGAGGGACTGACATATAATGCTTTCATATTTAAATATTTTTATACATTTTTAATTATAATTTTAAACGTTGCTTAGTTTTATTCATTCATTTTTTTTCCAAATTCCATGTATTTCCAGAAATTGATGTTCTTTACACTGGCTCACAAAAAGTGATAGGAGCGCCCCCTGGTGCCAGCCCCATTTCCTTTTCCGAACGTGCTAAGTAGGTATCCTTTCTTTTCTTCTAATGATACTATTTTTAATCTTTTTTTTTATCATTTGACCCAAAGCAAGACAATAAAGCGACTAAGACACAAGGAGTTACTGGATGTGAAAGAAAAAGAAAAACATTATTAAGGAGCGAGAAAAATTCCCACTCTCAAATCGATAAACTCATTGTTTACTCCAAACAACAAACATGGCACAACATTAATCAAAATTATCGAATTTTCCATAATTTAAATATGGCAGACTCAGATCATTGGTTATAATCCAGTCTTAGATCAATGATTAAAAATGGCATCAAACGACTTCTTTCAGTCGACATTAAGACAATCCTTCATCAAACCATGTAAACATAAAGTTCACACCTGATGTGTTGGGGGCGATATCAGACCCGAAATAATAATAATGATAATAAAGGAGATTATGCTGTAAAACAGACAAAGGGGCGTTTTCAAAAGTACCAAGATGTTAAAAATGCTTTAAATACTTTGAAATGTAAATGTTACAGAAAGTTAATTTAGAACACGAAATACAATCTTTGTGTAAATGTACAAAGGATATCAGATTACTAATAGAAAATTACTGGGACAATGAAAATTTGAACTTTTAGAAAACGAGATGGATTTTGACACTGTGAGAATTGAAGTTAAAATAAAGAATGTTTTGATTTAGAATTTATTTTTGAAACAAGACTCTTAAAAAAAAGCGGCAGAGTGGTTGATAAGCGAGGTGATAAACAATGGAGTCTTGTTGTGGACCTTGGAAACCAATCAAAGAAAAAGTAAACTGTTTACTCTCGGAAGAGTGAAATTGTACTCTGAAAGTATGTCAGTACGTTCGCACTAGAAAAACAGATACGTCACCAGTTCTCTATGTAAAGAGGCGAGCCAACCGGAAAAAGGAGTTTCGGGTTCGTCTGTCTTCGAATGCAGTCGAACTGAAGGAGTGACGTCAGAGATTAAAAAGAAAGCGTCCACTGTGTGCTGCTGAATAGGAGGCGAAGAGCGAAATACCGCCGTTACATCTAAGTAACGCTACTCCTGCAACTACTAATACTACTATTACGACTACTGAGAATGAGAATATCGAAGGATGTAGTAGTTGCGCTAAGAACAGACCAAAAAGGGTTAAAACGAAGGCCATATCTCTCCTTACCGAAATTACTCGAAGTAATTGTGTTTGTTTGGTTATTGTTCACATACAAGAAACATTCAACCTTGTGCAACAAGAATTTTTTTGCGCGTTTGCTCTTATATATATATAAAAACTTTTGTCCTTTCAATATTGAATCGACTTGGTTATTTTTCTGTTAACCCGATTCTCACCTGACGAACTCGCAGGTGGACCAACAGGAAGCTTCCGGATTTCTACGATCTGATGACCACTCTCCAGGATCATAAAAATCACAAGTGGCTGGAGGGTGGCTTCGAATTGACATTGGGAACCGGAGACTTGAGTCTAACCTGTAATACTGGATCATACCGGACTAACAGTCGGTCTGGTCGAGTGAGTTGGTCCAGTGGGGTGAATATACGGTGTCACATTACGGTCACTGGAAAGGTGACATAAAGGTAAGTGGGACACCGAGTCGGCTTGGGGCAAAAGTCGTCGCGGGCTTTGAGGTTTCTACCGCGGAGGCATTAAAGTGACAAACAACTGCAATCAATATAGGTACCACTACAAATTTGGAATTTTTAGGTACCAGCCTTATCTTTCTGCCGACTTGCCTGAAAAGCCTGTTGGTTCCAATGCTTATAGGAATGCTTATTTATAACATTCATACAATGTTATTGTAGCACAAGGCTGAAGTGCATTTCAAAAAGGCTGGTCTTCACTGACTATCCTACAACTAGCTAATCCAATTCGCGACTCATTCACTCTACAATTGACTAATTCACCACAATAACCCATCCCTCTCTACATCAATTAAACATCTACTACATATTCGCTGGTGACCTACTAAAACACCCATGGAGTAAAAATTTTGAATATGTACAATATATTCAATCATTATAGGAATGAAGATTTATTGTGGCAAATGAACAATTTTGGCACACGGCCGAACAGGAGGTGAGGTAAGGCTTGTCAACATTTACTACCCTATACCTAGATAATCAAATTCATGACCCATTCATTCATTACAATTTTCACATTCACAAGAACTCACCCATTACCATTCAATCCTACATATACTATAATACCACATATTCACAGGGAACCTACAAAAAACCCATGACTTAAAAATTTCAACAGTTCAATGTCTCTTTTTTCTTTTCTTTCTTTTTTTTTTTTTTTTTTTTTTTGAAATAAAACATATACTCATGAGATGAGAGGAGAGGAGAGGGAATGAACCCACAAAACCAAACCAAAATATAACAAAACATTCAAACTAAAACGTAACAGATGTTAGTGGGACCCGTCAACCCCACACAAAAATAAGAGTGGCCGCTGTATTCTGCCTTCAGACAGAATCAAGAAGCTCACTCACTAACAGAGAAGGAAGGATAAGAAATAAATGACGGAACGGGAACATCAAACACTGACCCAGTCGAGATGAAAAAACAACAGAGGACAATAACAAACTGGGGAAGTTGGTATCTCGAGATGGAACATAAAAGAGAATGTTGGGAACCGGCCGCAAACAACATTTAATTACATTAACTAGGTAAACAAAGAAAGTCTAACTTAACCAGGGGCTGGTTCACAGGAAACCACCCAGCTGCGTCAAATGGGACTTTAAAAAAAAGAAAATCTAGGCTGGCCCCATTCACACGAACCAAGCTCGCTACATTTACCCACCTTTCGCTGAAATCTGTCGATAACAAATGCTTTCTATCAGCTCTAATCTTCATTTTGAGCTGATACCCAAAGAATCCAACCAGATACTGATGAGAATAGCGTTCTTATCCCAAGAGTCCCTCTATCTGCGAAGTCCACACCACCATTCTTGACATGGCTAGCAACCTCAGAAACACCATCCGTTTCACCCCAGAGAACAAGGGCGATACATTATCGCTCGCGAGATCAATGGACACGAGATGTTTGAGATAACACATTCTGAGTCAAATGCCAGGTAAGCGAAAACTCAGGATTCCTGGGATAATCCGTCACTTGCGCCCAAGACCAGAAAGAGCGCAACTCCGATGACGACAAGTCAAGGCGGCTACATGCAAACTTTGTCAATTCTGTTTGGTTGGACATTTCTGCCAATTACATTTAACCATGGCCACTTACTCTACAACTATAACATTGGTTTCAGCAGTCCTTTAGGAATAGGAATCAGGTGAGAAAAGACAAAAGTGAAATGTCAAGGGAAAAGACAGCAGGTGATAATAGGGGATTAGGTGTAATTCATTTTTACGCAACAATAATGTTGTATCCTTAAAGAGGTTACAAACAGACAAAAGTGGTACTCAAGTAAAGCAACAGCAACATGAAAGAAGATATGTTTATTGTAAAAGAGAATACACTACAGAAAAACAGAGAATTGTGTGGCAGGCTAGTAATTCCTGAAGTAAGGTTATTTACCTTACCTCCGCGCGAGGCAGGATGTGGCACAGGGTCGTTTTTTAATGCAGGGCAAAACCGAGCCCATAGGCTCGGGGAGAAATTCCCCATAGACCCCGTATACACAAGGGTCAGGTAGCTGTCTTCCACCCCAGACAAGGCTCTGCCCTTCGACATGGTCTCGTCTGGGTTCCTCTCCGCCCGAAGGTAGGGAGCTCAACCAGCTCAGCTGGAGACGAATATCCAACTAATTGCCGAAGCAAGGTTATTTACCTTACCTCCCGCGAGGCAGGATGTGGCACAATGCTGTTTTTTAATGCGTGGTTAAAACCGAGCCCATTCGCTCGCGAAAAAATTCCCCGTCGACCCTGTAAAAACGGGGTCGGATAGCTGTCTACCACCCCAGACGAGACTCTGCCCTTCGGCATAGCCTCGTCTGAGTTCCTCTCTGTTCTCGGGCAGAGTTCGAACAACACAGCTGGAGACGAATCTCCAACTTATTGCTGAAGCAAGCCCCCAGGTATATCCTGTGATTATTATATATATAGCTACTGATATAGTCAGTCCACATAGGCGATAGGGAGTGTGGGACATTTCATTACAACAAATAATTGCCTTTCTCATTTACTTCCAGGCAGAAAGTCTTAACCAGAAAGAAGAAAATAACGTCATTTTATTTTGATATGGTGGAACTGGTAAAATACTGGAGTGCCGATGGTGTCAGACAGTAAGTTCTTTATTTACACTATTTACATTGTTCGGGCAGTTGCCTTCATCCTTATTGCTACATTCACGACGTTTCGACCATTATACGCTCCTGTCGTCTTCAGGTGATATTTTTTTTAAATTTCGAACCGAACCCAGAATATTCAATCTGTACGCTGGCGTTTCTAAAGATTGGTTCGATGACGTTTGCGTAGAAATTCTTGCCATGTTTATTTCCTGAAATAGGCTGACATATAACCATCGCGTTCTTGGGCCATTCAGTAAAGCTATTGAGAATCTGTTCTATTACCTCCAATATTTCTTTAACATTTCAAAACTGTTTTTCATTCTTCCATATTGATTTATATTTTCACGTATAATATCTTTATTCACATTACTTATATTCCCACTATTGACCTCATCTTTGTTGTTGTTATTGCAATGTTTTGATCATTTCACCCATTGATATTGATCTAGGTAACCTACAAGGAATCCCGAAAGGAACACTTTATTTAATCTACAGGATTAGACTGTTCTCGCTCCATTAGCCATTTTCTGGGGATATCTCGCCAGTACCACTAAGTTATTGCTCGTCCATTTCCATATATATATATATATATATATATATATATATATATATATATATATATATATATAAGTGTAGCAGGTATTCAGACAATAAAACATAAACGTGCTGGGAGAGAGCACGTTATCTATCATGATGAACAAGGCTAGCATGCTCAAACACTCGGTCACGATGACGTGTGACTTCGTTCTAGAAATAAATACCTTGGTGTGGTTTTCAGGCACTTTTCAAAGGTGCTGCATGCTAGGATTGCCTATCACAGACTTATAAAATCAAGAAGTCACCTTCCCGACAAATCAACCATGGTGAGATTTGAACCTGGGTCTCATGATCAGAAAACGAACATCCTAACCACCATGTGTTTGTTGGGGGGTAATTCAATATAACATCAACAAAATTTTTTGAAATTTCCATGGATACCATTTCAGATTTTTATGAATTTTTAGTATGTTTTACCCAACTACAAAAAACCCTAAAATTTTAGCTTCCTTAGACACTTGATTCATGACCTCTTAAATATTGGTGCCAATTTTTGCCGATTTCAAAATAGCATGATTTGCCAAATTTCAGTACTTTGCCTTCTAAGAAGATCAGTTATGTGCCATGCGTGATACACGCTTAGGCAATCATGTATCTTTTGATACATGACTGATGAAGCAGATTTTTTTCCCGCAGTAGTTTGCCATTTCTTTCTGCAGTAGACCATTTGCCATCCAACGCTATAAAACACAATTTGTCCTGCTATTTACCTATAGGGGAGAAGAAGAGGATTCATACCTTTCCCAAAGGTATTAGCATGTTAGTGAATGTAATAGATTCAACTGGAATTCGAACTCGGCTCACCAATCCCTCAATCTAAGCCACTATCCATTATTCCACCATACCAAGTTGATATTTGGTCATCTGATAGCTTAATATATGGAGGAATCACTCCTGGTATTCCCAAGTGGTCACTTATCTTGGTACTGACCAGGTTTTTGTGTGTATGTGTCTTTATAAGATAGTGTATGGGTGTTTGTGTAACTATAACAAATATACCAAAAAGTGCTATAAACAAATTTTTATTAGATAACGTTTTAAATGTTTTGTTTGGAATATTTTTCTCATTGTAGATACCACCACACTGCTCCAATCAGTAATATGTTTGCCTTGAGAGAAGGACTTGCTGAATTGGCTGAGGAGGTAAGACAAATTGTTTCTTTTCTTTTTCATAGACATTAAATTCTTTGAAAATATATTTTGAAGTAACCGTTTGATTAAAAAGAGTAAGTTGTGAAGATTAGGCAAAAAGGAAAAAAAAAAGTGGGTGAAAGAAAATTAGAAGTCATTGAAAAAGTCATAGATATGCCAACTAGTTGGTTTTAATTTCATAACTCCTTTACACCCTTGATTTTTAAAAATGGGTGAAGTTTTATTTTTTTTTGGTTTTTTTGCGAGTGTCACTTATGTCAAAAGGTAAGTAGATTATTACAGTATTTATATATATTTTTTTATTTGTTTTCTTTCAGGGCTTGGAACGCAGTTGGCAAAGACACAATGAATGTGCTCTCATGTTACACAATGGCATCACAAAACTGGGTTTACAATTGTTTGTCCAAGATAAGGTATGGGTATCTTTTATTTATTTTTTTAACTCTAAAGCATCTTTGAAATGAAATTGCTTATTCTATTTCCAAACTTAAAAGTTTTGAACATAGTGTAAAAAAATATTTACCATGGAAAGAAACATAAACATTTCTCATTCAGATATTAGGTATTTTTTTATTTGTAATTATTTCACCCTCTCAAAATCAATAATGCCACTAACATGCAAGAAGTAACTGAGTGTGAGAGAATGAGAAAAAGAAAACATTATTAAGGTGAGAGAACAATAAAAGAACGAGAATTCAGTAGATAGAAAATAATGATTGACATTACATTTAAATTTTTGAAGATCAAATTTAACTGGAAAGCAAGAGGGCAGAAAAGAGTCCCACAAGTGAGAAGTATGAAAGAAGAAACTGTTAACATAGAACTTACAGTCACATTTAGCCATTTGAACTATAAAATTATGAGATCCTGCCACCAATCTTGAACTGCACTTAAATTCATAAAGTCTAGGTACCTTAGCGGACAGTTTTATATATATATATATATATATATATATTTTAATTAAAAACCAGGTTGGCAGTGACTGGCCACTACTATCAGTTTAATCTGCTTGATGATTGTGTGCAAGCACATGAAACTTATAATCATGGCCAGTAACTGCCAACCTGGTATTTAATTAATATAGAAGCTCTGCCATTTCTTATGGCACTGAGCACTTTTATGCTGGTAGGCTACTTTTGGGCAGACTCTTTTACAGACACTCATTCTTTGCTGGATTTATATATATATATATATATATATATATATATATATAACATTACATTTAAATTTTCGAAGATCAAACTTGAATAGAAAGCAAGAGGCCAAAAGAGAGTTGCTCAAGTGAGAGGTGTGAGAGAATAAACTATTAGCATAGAACTTACGGTTACATCTCACCATTTCAATTCTAAAATGATGAGACCTTGCTGCCAATCTAGAACTGTGCTTAGATATCATAAATGAAATTTTGTCAAAACAGTTATCATGAAACTATTTATAGAATTTTTTCTATATTTATAAATTCTTTCTCTAAATACATAGCAGAAGCACTAGACCAGATATGGCAGTGATATCTGATACATGGATGAATGGTAAACTTATAAATGTATAAGATTATGGCAAACAAATTGTCTAGCATGGCAGTGAACTAACTGACCTAGCAGCAAACCTACCAATTGATTCAATGTAATCTTGATGTCAGCGGAAAATGATAGGCCAAGAAGGCACAATGAGTTACTATTTATTACTAAAGCCTCATAGGAATAGGTGAACGGGAGTTGTTTGCTTTTGACAACTTCTATCAAACAAACTTGATGCAAAAAGAAAGTTCAGTGTCCCTGAAGAAGTTTGGTTTTTACATCAACAAGTCACAATGTAGATTCCCAAAAATAGATCCTCCAACTTCAAATGAGTGTTGATTCTATTCTTTTGGTAGTTTAACTTGCAGTAGTATTTGAAGAATATTTTCAGGTTGTAAATAATCTGCAAAAGGTCGACAGACCATAAAGAAAACAAATCAATCGAATTAGTTCTTTGTTGTCTATCCCTAGAAAACCTTTCCATCTCTTTCTATGTTTGACAAACACTTAAACAAAATGACATTTTAGATTCTGTAACTGGATTAATTATTGGCATCCACAATCTTAACAAGTAAAGATATGCCGATAACACAGTGTTGATAGCAGACACAGAAAGGAAACTACAAGGAATCCTACAGAGGATAGTAAAGGAAAGCGAGAAGAAAGGACGAAAGATCAATTGTAAGAAGATAGAATGTAGGTTGTTAGCAAAAGGGGCAGCCCAACATGCACATTACAAATTGGAGATACCAAAATCAAACAATTACAACAATTTAAATACCTGGGAAGTGTTTTAACAGAAGACGGAAAGTACGACAATGAAATTCGAAGGTTCATTGGGATAGCCAAAAATGCATTCCAAAAGCTAAGCAAAGTATTAAGAAACAGAAAATTTCATTAGAAACAAAGAACGAGTACTGAAATGAAAGTATTGCAAGACAGGAGGATTTCTTTGGTGATGAAGAAAAGAATACTAAACTGTTACGTGACATCTGTCCTTCTTTACAGCAGGGAATGTTGGACAATTTCCTCAAAGATGAAGAAGAGACACAAGGTGACAAAGATGTGGTTCTACAGAAGGATGCTAAGTATATCATGGACCGAGAGTGTGACCAACGATTAGGGTCTTAGAGAGGATGCAAACAAGGAGGAGGCTTATATATAATATCAGAAAGAGGCATCTGAAGTTACTGGGACACATAATGAGGAAGGAGGGCCTGGAGAATCTGATACTCACGGGTCAAATAGAGGGAAAGAGAGACAAGGGAAAAAAACGCAAGACATACATTGCGGCCTTATGCAAATGGATGACAGGATGTGGTCTGGGAGATGTGGCAGAGGGGAAGAACTTGTTGAGAGCTGCAAGTGATAGGAGGAGGTGGAGAGCCATGATCGCTTACATCCTGAAAGGACACGGTGCATAGAAAGATATGGCAGTGAATGCTGGACAATCTCCTCACATAAAGAAGTGTCGTGAAGCAACAGAAATATGGTCCTACCGAAAGATGCTGAGCAACAAAAATTTTTTATCGAAAATGGAAACAAAAAAGCACATATATACTCAACATCAGAAAGAGAGAGTTGAAATTTCTAGTCAAAATAATGAGAGGAGAAGGCTTCGAAAATTTGATACTCACATAAACTACTTGGGGAGCTTGATTAAATAGATGGTGGAATAAGGTTTAGGATAGATAACAACAAGACAAAATTTATTAAAAGCTACAAAAGACAGAAAATTATGGAGATCCTTGACCGTCAATGTCCTGAAGGGACACAACACAAAGAAGAATATCTGTCACTATTTTTTTTTTATTGTCAATGACCTTTTCTTAAACTTCAGCCATTTCGAGATAGATAGCATGACCCATTAGAACAGGTCGATTTTGAAGAGAAATTATACTAAACAATTTAGCTATATTATGATGTAATATGTTGTACAGTGCAGTAGTTTTAGTGCCATTTTCAATAGACAATAAAAATTTAAAAACATTTGCTAGCAGTATTACGGTGTTATATACACTTTTATCTATTTTTTCTTTTTATTATGATCTAACAAATCTTTTCTGATCCTTTCACACAGTTTTTACTTATCGAATACAATAAAAAAAAATTGTATCTTTTGCCTGTGGTGAGTCATTATTAGAATTCTGGTTTTAATATATTTTCCATTCAATGTATTTAATACAAAAGATATCGACTTTATTTGATTTATTCTTGAAATGCTTGAATTCTGAAGTCAGTTTGTAAACAAAAACCTGTGGAATTTAGTTATTTCCATATATTTTTCAGACTATATTTAAAACTAAAATGCTCAAAAATCAATAAAAGCTATGAAACTAATTTTTTGTGTCAGTACTTATCACCTCAGACCCCAGATTTCACACCGACTGCAATGATGATTTTCTCAAGAAAGTCAAAAATCAACCTGCCCTAATGACCCATGTCATAGGCGCAAACCTAGTTATCCATTTTGGAAGACCTCAGAAAAGAGTGTAAATATAACTGGATCTTATCATGAACCCTGGATTAACTCAAATTTTAGATCTCCACTTCACCTTGTTCCAATTATTTTATTTTTCAAACTTCAGGTTTTTACCTTGTTCCATTTTTCTTTCTTGTTCAATAATACATATGGACAAACAAGTGTGTTCTGTCAACTAGTTAATTACAGCAGCTGGTGTGTGGTGTAAGAATGTAAACAGTAAAAAACACATAGGTAAGGATTATAATTCATTAAGGGGTTTATCTTCTATAGAGTTCTGGTTACTGTTAAAATTTGTATATGATAAGCTAACCGATGACAGAAGCTTGACATCTTCCTCTCTTTATCTAAAATTCTTTATACATACCTCTCAACCTTTCTATTAACCCAATCATCTCTCTCTCTCTCTCTCTCTCTAAAATTCTTTATACATACCTCTCAACCTTTCTATTAACCCAATCATCTCTCTCTCTCTCTCTCTCTATATATATATATATATATAGTGATTTATGCATATATAAGCAAAGAAATAAGTGAATCTTCAAACATAGTTCTACAAATTTCAATAATTTTTATTTGAGTATTATTTTTCTTTCAAATTGAAAGAAATGAATTACAAAGATCCTTTGCAAACATCTTCACACAAAATATTTTGTGTATCTTTCTTTTATAGTACAACCGAATGAACTGCATTAATATAGCAAAAACAGAAAGTGTCTACATGTGTGAGGGTGTATGTAACATGGATTTACTTTTAAATTTAGTTTAGGTTGTATAATGAACGAACAAACAGCCTGATCAAAGGTTTACTGAAAGACAAATTGGTGAACAGAAATTGATCATATTTATAATGAAATAATCGGCTCCAAAAGAAATCAAAACTTAGATTTATTAATCTCAAGTTTATTGGTTAATAAATATTTTCCCAATTTTTAAATATCCATTTTAAGGAGAGAAAATATTCTTGACTGCATTCTGAAATGATCTTCCAAAATTTCATAGCTTAAGAAATTTTTATTGTCTGCAATTTCAAAGAATAACGTGCATCTCATATGACATCACTGATTGGTTAATGTATGAGTACAAAAATTCAAATTATTGGAGCCGGTCAGTGTACAAAAAATGAGTTTTTAGTGACAATACCATTGCATTTTCTACAATTCCGAAATGGGTTTCCACACACATACATACATACATACATACATACATACATACATAAATCGATTCTCCCGTCGGGCTCGACGTATGAGGGTCAAGCAGATCAGTTTCCAGGAAACTGACAGCCTGACACCGGCACATGAGATTCGATTATAGTGGTGAAGGCTTCGTGCAAGACCATCCACACTTTTTGAAGGGCCGAATACAGAGACCTGATGCACTACGTGCCACAAGGTCCCCAAACAACCCCCCTCAGGTTTTGAATTCAGAGTTGTCCTTCTCCTAGACCAGTTGCCACCCAAGGCTATAGAACCCAGTCTGTCCTGCTATTTAACCCATAGCTGGAGGGAGAAGAAGAGGATTTATACCTTTCCCAAGGGTATTAGAACGTAAGTGAATGTAATGGATTCAACCTGGATTCGAACTCAGGCACGGTGGGGTAATGGATATTGGCTTGGATTGTGGAACATACATACATACATACATATATATATACATATATATATATATATATATATATATATATATATATATATATATGAGAGAGAGCGAGAGAGGGGTTAGGATTAATATAAATTAAAGTGTGTCACTTAGCTGATTGATGTTACCTTCAGCACCTAGACTCCAGAGGTTTATATATAAAACAATTTTCTTTTTTTTTCCAGAAAGATAGGCTTCCTTGTATAACAACCGTCAAAGTACCTGAGGACGTCAAATGGAAGGATGTTGTTGATTACGCCATGGAAAAGTAAGACAGAATTAAGTTTCTTACATTTTTATTCAAATGTCTATTTATTTATATATAATTGATTGATTGATTTGATTTTTTACGGTTTATTAACCCTCTGGAGGCTATTTAAAACTGAAACATATTTGGGATATTTTTTTAATCATTTCACCCCAAGCAAGGCAACAAAGCCACTAAGATATGTATAAAAACAAGCCACAACAAAATTCCCCAAAGAGTGAGTCCTACTTCATTGTTTATTTGTTGTCCTGTTGATAAAGGAGACAGACATGCCCAAAAATTCCAACTTTAAAATCTTTCTCCTCATGCTTCAGTTTAGTCAAAAGGACTAATAAATATATAATACATTTCATCACTCTTATTGACATTATTTTTTATCATTTTGTCATCTTTTATGATTATTTTTTTCCCAATGAATCTTTCTAAAAAAGTGCTAGACAAAAAATGTTCTTTTTAAAGAAAAAGAAACAGAATGTGCATCATCATTTTTAAAACAATATATATATATATATATATTATATATATATATATATATATACACACACGCAGCACACACACACACACACTTCAAGGAAAAACTTAACTATACATTGAAAACGATTATAAATTATAATTTATTTCAGCAAGTAAGTTTTTAATACTTGTCTCATCAGACCAAAATTACAATTGCTATAATATTACAAAATAGTTTAAATTTGTCCAGACAATATTTAAAAAAAAAACAGATAACAGGAAATTAGACACTTGACCAAGAAAATCTATTTTCTGGGGATTTATATAATTGAAGATATGGGTGGGGGTGGAGAGGCAGCTGTCAACCCCGTGTTCAAGTGTGGTGTTTGGGAAAATACAAGTAACAGCTAGAGAAATACATAAAAATAAAGATATACATATACACACACACACATATATATATATATATATATATATATATACGTAAAAAGGAAGAAGAGAAAATAATAATATATATAATAGATTTTCTTAGTCAAGCTTCTAGACTTCATGTTATCTGGTTTTTAAAAATATTGTCTGATAAATTTGAACCATTTTGTAAAATTATACCATTTGTAATTTCAATCAATATTAAAAACTTATTTGTCAAAATAAATTATAATTTATAATTGTTTTCAATGATGTTTTTCCTTGATGTATATCATCTTGCTATGTATACTATACATTGTGCTCTCTTTATGGATATATCTTTTTAATATTTTATATTAAAAAGACCTACTTGGATTATTGTTTCCACACACACATTATATATATATATATATATATATATATATATATCTCCAAGTATAGGAGTAGTGTATATGAAGTAAATTCCAGTAACCAAAAATACTATTCTTAAAAGAATGCTCAATACAGCGTAAAGCAAATGCAATTTATTTGAAAAATATAACATAAACATGTTATAAAATCGCTACAAAAATAGACATCATGTTTCAACACTTCTGGTGTCTTATCTTTCAAAAGTTTTATATATATATATATATATATTTACACTTTTGACATATTATATATATATATGCCTGATTAGGACTGATTTCATTACAAACCCTTCTATGAACTTTGTCAAGAATCTTGTGAGGTAGATTATGTAATGTTTTTCTCTGTTCCTCTTACCTTCAATACATCTTGTGAGTATCAAATTTTCCAAGGCTATTTTCTTCATTGTGTTCTAGAAATTTCAATTCTCTATTTCTGTTTTGTTTCCATTTTCTCTAAAACTTTGTCATTACTCCCATGCTGTCAACAGTATTCTCATCATCATTCTGTTAAACCACATTTCTGTTGCTTTAAGTTTATTCTTTCCCTGTGAAGAGATTGTCCAGCAGTCACTGTCATATAGGAGGACTGATATTATATAACAGTTCTGTACTCTTTCCTTTATTTCTAACAAGATTTTCCTGTCTCTTAATACTTTGCTTAGCTTTGGGAAGGCATCTTTTGCTATTCCAGTGCACCTTCAGATTTCAGTACTGCACTTTCCATCTTCTGTTAAAACATTTTCCAAATATTTGAATTGTTGTATTTGCTTGATTTTGGTATCTCCAATTTGTAATTTGCATGTTAGAATGTCCCTTTTGCTGACAACCATTCATTCTATCTTCTTTCAATTGATGTTTCATCCTTTATTTTTGGTTTTCCCGTAGTTTCCAATGTTTGCTATCAACACTGTGTTATCTGAATATCTTATGTTATTAAAATTGTGGCTACCAAAAATGAATCCTGTTAGAATTTCTTATTCTCTTAGGATCACCTCACTGTAAAGGATGAATAGGTCCGGTGAGAAGACACATCCTTGTCTCACACTCCTTTCTATTTCTGTATATTTACTAAATTCATTTCATATCCATATGCAGGCAGTTTGCACCCATTGTAGGTTATAGATTATTCTAATATCCTTCCTAAATATGTCAAGGCAGAAGTTCAAACAGTGCATTGTGATGTTCATTAACAAACACATGTGTAATCTATAGATGCTGAATTTACTAAAAAATAGCAAACATTATATTTGTATATTATATATATTAAATATTATATAAATGCTGAATTTATTAAAAAAAAAGAATTTACTAAAAATTACAAACATTTGTATATTATATATATATATATATATATATATATAAAAATATTATATAAATATGAATTTACCAAAAATAACAAACATTTGTATATTATATGAATGAATAGGGAAGAAATCTATATTTAGTTTTTAGCCAACATGTTTGTCGCCTGACGGACTTTATCAATAAATGCGATAGTTTTATTTTGCAACAAGTATATATTTGACAGTTACTCAAATCTTTAAATGTAGGTATGCTCATAAATATTCATCAGGTAAACTGAAAAGTTTAGGCATTTGAGCCTATATTATGCCATATTGCATCTTCAAAAGAAATTTTTAAATTTAAAGACACTCATAAATATTCAACAGGTTAAATGAAATGTGTAGGTATTTAGACCATAGATTACATCATTTAGTATACTCAAAAAATATTTTTTTTTATTATTGTACATCTCTGGAATTTGAAATGACGGATTCAGCCATTTTCTTTTGATTTTTCAACACATCTGTTGTGTATGTTTGCTTGGGAAAGTAGTAATTCCTTCAGGAAAGGTGAGGGTGAGGAAAAAAAAAACAGGGCATACATAGATTGATATTTTGATAATATTCATACTCCTCCCATCTTTTGAACAGGAGTAGAGGTTTATCCCTTGTTTTCTGTTTAGAATTGGGTTTCCAGTTTCTTGTAAAGTTTACTTCAACTCTTTCACTTCCAGTCGCTCCTTCTGTCTGAGTGTCATTATTGTCTTGGGGTGAATTAAAAAAAAATAAAAATAAAAACACACATAACAACACATGCACAAACCTACCTAACAATGACAGAAGAGGGAGTGGGACGGATAGTAAAAGCTAAAGCCTGCTAAGATCTCCAAAGGATAGAAAGATGTGGAGAGCCATCATTGCCCACATATAAAGGGACAAAGAAGAAAAGGAAGATGTAAATAATTTATAAAATTGGTTTGCTAGATTCCATTGTCAAAATCGTGATGAAAACTTGTTACTTCCTTTTATCCACTGCGATATGCATACACTGACTTGGTACCATGTTTGATAATAAAATAGTTTCAATTTTTAGAAATGCTGTCATATGAAACATATTTTTTCTATTTTTCAGGCATTTAGTAGAGATTTCTGGTGGACTGGGAAATCTGGCTGGAAAAGTCTGGCGCATTGGGCTCATGGGACAAAATGCTCGACGTGACATTGTACAAAAAGTACTGATTGCTTTGGGAGACAGCCTGAAGAATGCAACTAAAAGCCCATCAAACTAACTTGCAAAAGTCATAATTCACCTTATTATGAGATAACGAAAAGAAATGCAACTCAATTTTTCTGAGTTTTAAAATATAATTAGACACTCCAAATATATATGCAAGAAAGAGATAAAAGTTAAAATGTTTTATCGGAAGGTTTTAGAATACATCATTTGTATCCTCTGCAGATAATTAAGACCACAAAGGGGACCGCCATACAGAGGGATACTTGCAGTCTCTAGTATATACCAAATTCATGTCTGCACACTTTTTGAGTGTAAGACTGGACTGTTTATTTTTTTAACCCAAGTGTAGAACAACCTATGTCTGCCTTTTTGACCAGAGTATAAAACTGAAACTGTCCCTAGTATTTTTACCCTAGTGTAGAACCAAGTATATGTTTACCTTTTTGACCAAAATGTAGAACCTATGTATGCCTTTTTTACCCAAGTGTAAAACTGAAACTGTCCCTAGCTTTTTTACCCTAGTGTAGAACCAGGCATATGTTTACCTTTTTGACCCAAGTATAGATCACAACCTATGTCTGCGTTTTTGACCTAAGTGTAAAACCAGATCTATGTGTACCTTTTTGACCCTATTGGAAGACTAGACCTGTACCTGTCTTTTTGAGCTTAGTGTAAAACCAAATCTGTCTAATCACTTGATTCATTGTAATTTTTGTCCTCCAAGACACATATTTGACATTAATTCAAAATCTCAAATTAACTAGCTTAACCCTGAATGTAAAATAGTTGAGATAGTTCCAAAGAATTGTAAAATATAATTCTGGGAATATAACTTAACAATCAGTAGGTTATCATCTTCATGACTGGAATTTCATGTCCTTAGCATGAGGCCTTTAATATTTCATAACTTCCTTATATAAGTGAATATATGTTCCAGTTTCGTCTGACAGTGGAACAGAGGATTTGCTTGAGTATGTATCCATGAATTAGATTTAATTCCGATATCAACTGCAATGACAAAATTGAAATAAAAAAAATTTAGAAAAAAATTCAATATGTTCCCTACACAAGAGTCTTAAGACATGATTCTGATTTTTCCAAGACATTCGGACAACGGACCTTCTGTATGAACATGCTAGTCTGAAATAAATGATTGCTCGCAAGTTTTAAGTTTGCCTTTTCTTTATTCTATGCCTTGGTTGTGACATGTGCAGGACTTTTCATCTGTTGTAAATGATACTGGAAACACGGACATCCTCAGATATTAAGCATCATCACTGAACCATTTTATATTTGATCTGATTACATCCCAATACAATTGATGCACATTGACTAGGATATGTGACAATCACATGAATTAAACTAGAATCAATTCTTTGTATTAAATTTTGTTAATTTCTTGACAAATAGAATATAACATTAATCCAAAAAAGTCTTGAATTTTAACACGTTGACCTCCAGTGTTCAACTATGAAATCCAACTTCAAATACCAACTTTATAGTAACCAATTTAGTCAATAAAAGAAAATTCTCATTAGTTGATTTATGGCTTCAGCTGAAGCCTTAACATTGTTTTCACACTAAAAGTATCACTGCAATGATGCTCTAAATCAACCCATAAAAAATTTTTATTGCCCAAGTTGGCTATTATAAACATGGGGTTTGACAAGCACAAATTATTTTTCTTTTTGATTGATTCATTTTTTATGGTTATCAAAATTTGAAGTTTTTTTTTTAAAACCAGAATTATTGATTGTAAGATTGTTTTTGAGATAATGATTTAGTAATGTTTTACTAATTAACCCATAGCAGGGGGAGTCATACCCTTCCCAGGAGTATTTTCACATAAATCAATATAAAACAACTGGAATTTGAACTTGGCTCTCTGATTAACAATTCTGAGCCATTATCCATTACACCACCCACACATTCAACCTTACAGCACCTGGCATTCCCAAGCAGTCACCCATCTAAGTAATGACCAGTCTTGATGTTGCTTAACTTTGGTGATGCTGCCATAAACCACAAATTATTCCCATGTGTTAAGAACAGTTGCATTTTAACTGTATTCATTATCTATTTTATTTTTTACCAGAAGAGAATTGAAATATAACATTAAAAGTTTGTTTTCAATGGAAGACTGTATAACACCAATATCCCCAAAACAGGTATGCTTATCATACAGTTTAGCATAAAAATATTCCAACAAATCTATTTTATCTGATATGGCTGAGCCAAGTAAATACCAACAGAGATCAGGAATATATATTTTTCTCATCATGCTTCTATTTGGTCTAAAGGCCTAATAAATATTATAGTCTTTTTTGAAAATTATATATATATATATATATATATGCACACACATGCACACACTCAGGGCGCGATGGATAAATTGTCATCTAAATTACACAAAAATGAAAATAACATGGATATCTCATTTTAACAGATATATTTACCAAAATTACACAAAAATATCTTGAAATACAAAAGAGTAAATTTATTCAATAAAATCACCATTGGCTTCTACCACTGCCTCCAGACAACTTTGGAATCTCCTGCAACTCTTCTGGACAGTCTCCTTGTATAAGTTGATGACTGCTGCCATAATCCTTGCCTTCAGTTCATCTTTGGTGTTACAAGGAGTTTTGTTGGTCTCTCGCTCAACTGCTCCTCACGCATAATAATCAAGGGGGTTGCAGTCTGGAAAGATGTAAGAGGGTGATCACAGAAATTGTCTGACAGAAATGACTGGTTTCTCCTGCTTGTGTGACATGATACATAGGGTATTCCAGCTGCAACTCTATTGACCCAGAGCAGTACTACCTCCTCAAGGCACTCAATGTAGGCCTCTGTATTGAGTCTGACGCCCTCACCAACAAATTTGAGAGTTCTTTTTTTATCATAACAATCAGAGTGAGTTTTCCGACCTGCCATACCTTCATAATCCACATTTGACTCATCCAACTCTTTCCAAATCCTTCTCACTGTTCTTAGACCAACACCCAAACACTGATATGTTTGTATTGAACCTTCCAGCATGAATGCTAAGCAGTGCAGCATGCCATTTCCAAATTTCTGGGAGAGTGAATTGCAACATGGTGCTCTTTTTCTCACATACGGTGCCCAACTAACCCTACTATACTATGCAGTCAAAAAAATTAAAAACTAACAACACACATGTGGAAAATGAAAAATATAAAATGTTGACAATTTAACCATTGCACCATGAGATATATATATATATATAAAATAAATACACATACACCTACATTTGTAGTACAACTTAAAGTTTCATGGTTTCACAAGTCATCAGGTACATATGGCAAATGAGCTACTTATTACAGCTGGTTTTAAAAAATACTGGATCTCATGGGAGTAACACTAAATTATACACAGATTCAAAGCTCAAAGTTAATTAAAACCCAATATATTATTGGGGTGTAAATTCAAAATATAGTGTATGGGAGATATTGGGAAATACAAAGTTAAAAAAAAAAAAAAAAAAAGAAAAAAGAATGATGCAAGCTTAAAGTTTATATGGTACTTTTTTTTCTGTGTTTAAAAAAAAAATTTAAGTTAAAAAATTATAAAACATTAGGAGTAAGCAATATGAATAAAAAGAAGAAGGGTAAATACAGTAGATTGTATATGGTTTGTAGTCTCTATGTTTCAAGGGGCTATTTAATATATATATATATATATATATATATATATATATATATATATATATATAATTAAGAAATATACATAATATCTTACATTTATTGCACAAATCTGAGTTTCATGCTGAAGCAATTTTCAAGTGCTGGAATTATTATATTTTTATTTATATTAAAATATATATTTATATATAATATATTTATATTATTATATTTAGTAAAATATAAGTACAAATAAATATAATAATTCCATCACTTGAAAATTGCATTGGCATGAAACTCAGAGTTGTGCAATTACATAGATATTATGTATATTTCTTAATATATTAATTAAATAGATCTGTTACTTAAGATATTATAATATATTAATTATTAATATATTAAATAGCTTTGTTACTTAACATTGAGCACTGTTTTTCTTACACTATAGAGTATTTACATACAATTACTTGCTTGCATATCTACCTATATTTACCCATTTGGTTATATATATATATATATAGAAAACGTTTCAAATTAAAAATTATAATGTTTTATTTTATGAAAGTATTTATTTTTTATATATATATATATATATATATATATATTTGATATTTCAAATTGTCCTCAATTTTTCATCAGAAATAACTTTTTGTTAGCAAAAAATTAAAATTACTGTTTGTTAGATATCTGAACAGTGACGTTCCATATCACATGACGTCCACGTCTCGCTAAGGACGCTACTTGCTAACAAACAGTAATTTTAATTTTTTTATAACAAACAGTTATTTCTGATGAAAAATTGAAAATTTGAAATATCAAATATATATAAATAAATACTTTCATAAAATAAAACATTATAATTTTAATTTGAAACTTTTTCTATATACATATTAAGAAAATATCACATGGCTTCTCATTATTCTCTCTCTCTCTCTCTATATATATATATATATATATATATATAAAACAAATTAATAAATGGATATAAATCCGACAGAATGAAGAAATTTTGAAAAAACAAACAAAAAATTAACTACATTAACTACATTTAAGGATTTTTTTGTTTTTTTCAAAAATATATATATATATATATATATATATATATATATATATATATATATATATATATATATATAAATCAGTTTAACAAGGTACTAGGATTTATATTGGCTGTAACTCTCAAAGAGTCATTATCATTCCAGGCCCTCATGCGATTCAGATAAATGAACTATTTTGAGTCTTCTTCAGTTGTATAATCTATAAAGCATAAAAATCAATCCCCTTTTTTCAAAACACAAAATGTTGGAATGGACCAGTTGAGTTGATATGTTAGTGAGCATACTGTGAGATATCCCACTCCATATTTTTTTTTTCAAATGATAAAGCTAGGCTCACCGCTTCACACTCCACTATCTTTTGAACAGGAGTAGAGGTTTATTCCTTGTTTAGTGTTCAGGATTGGGTTTCCAGTTCTTTTTGAAGTCATTTCTTTCTCTATTACTCCTAGTAACCCCTTGCATCCTAGTGGCATTATATCCTTGCTTTGGAGTCTAAAAGATTGTTTTGCAGTTAGGATCCACGAAAACATTGCAGTAACAGCATTAACAACACAAAGACATTCAGTTGTCTGAACCAAGATTACTTGTTCCATGAAAAGGGACAGCCTCTTCTTCCTATTATTTATCAATACATTTACAAAAAGCCTTCTTAATCATGGATAAAGGTGGGAATATTAAATGGTGATATTCTTCACCACATCACCAGTTGAAAAGCTGGCAAAAATCTCTACCTTTCAAGATCATTATAATTGTAGTTTGTTGAGTACCAACAACAAAAGAAAATCTGTAACAAAATTTCAGTGAAACAAATTACTTTTATTACTTGATGCCTTTTTGAAAAAGAAAAAAATGCTACAGTTTTTTCTAAAATTATATCCCTTGAGGAGAGAGTTTATAACTGTCTGCAGATTAATTTTCTTTTTATTATCTGCAAATTGCCATGACTTCTCCTCATTGCTTTCTCCATCATTCAGTTTTCCTTCTCTTAGGTTGCCACCCAAGCCTAATGAGTTCAGTCTAGTCTGCTATTTAGTTTTGAGCACACATTAATATGTGCTTTTCCCAAAGGCATTTGTGCAAAAGTGAATGCAACAGACTAGCCCAGAATTTGAAATCAGCTTTGCTACTTTTCATGAGGTTATGTTATACAACCAACAGAGAACAGGTATGTAAAATGTAATTGAGGCAATTCCAAAGTTGGGTTGATTTTATTGAAAATTATGGTTTAACAAAAAAAAGTATGAGAGAAAGAAAAACAATAGAAAAAAGATCAAGTTCCACATGAAATGAGTTCTGGTCGAATAAAGCCTGGCTATGCGGACATGATGCATGAGGGTGATTGGATGTAAAACATTTCTCAGCTCTTGCTCTCTTGTGACTTACAGGCAAGTCAGGACGGTAAATATACAACTGAGTTTCTCACCACTCCCCCAACCCCATTTCTCAGCTCCCTTTAAATATTACTTATTTACAGAGGGAATATCTATTCTGTGATCAGTTCCTGCTGACAGAGCACTACAAAATTTAACACCACTCCCAGCAAATGTCTCAGTTGATAGTTCACAAGGGAATAGTACCTTTTCATAGTGGATCTGCAAAAAAAAATAAATAAATAAATAAATAAATAAATAAAAATAAAAATGATGAATGAGATGTGAGGAAGAAATTATACCTAACTCTGAATCTCCAAAGGAAATTATTACACTTCATGCAAACATTACGAGAAATAAGTTGTACATTGTGGATTGTTTCCATCTGGCTTCACCAAACACCCATTAGGTGGCATTGTTTAAGTCTATAAAAAGACAAACATTTCCTTCCGCTTTCTCCAAGATGTAGCAAGATATAAAAAGGGTGTCGTTCTTTTCCTAGGTTGACTGATAATTGAACTCTACACATATACACACGTCTGCATAGCACATGCATAGTTGGTTAGCTATTTTTATTTAGCTGCATATCAACCTCTATATGTTATTTAATTCCAAAATCTAGATTTTTTTATTGTTTGGGGGAAGATAATAATAGTTTTAGTAATACAAGATTTACTAATTAACCCATAGCTGGGAGGAGAAGAGGTGAATTTATAATTTTCCCCAATGGTATTTGCATGCAAATAAATATGACAAACACAATTGGAATTCAGTTCTCCGGCTAACAATTCCAAGCCATTAACCGTTACACCACCTGCACATCCAAGCTTACAACACTTGATATTCCCAAGTGGTCACCAATCTAGGTAGTGACCAGGCTCCACGCTGCTTAACTTTGGTGATTGTACAGAAAACAGTGTTTCAACATGATGTGGCCATAAGTTTTTGATATTTTTTTTCTTTACTTTCAACTGTGTATACACTGGTGTAATTTCTTTTTGCTAATACATGTATTGTTTGTTTTTTTAAAATTCAATGTTTTGTTTTTTAATTTTTGCCCAGACTCACATGAGTCCCCCAAATATTGTTTGCAGGGCGAATGTACCAGGGATCATTAAATTTTTACTGAAAAAAACAAAAAAAAACAAACATCCAAACCTTGCAACTAAATAAGCAAGTCCTGCAACAACATTATTATTATTATTGTACACTGAATTTAATCTTTTATAAGTTCATGTAAAGCTAAATTTTGTCAGTGTTCCTCCCACCTTACATCAGTCAAACAAAGTAGCCCATCCTACTCACACAATCTGTTTATTAACACTTTAAATGTTATTTTTAGTTGATATTCGTATTTAAGTAGATGTTCAGTTTATTTATTAAACTATATTTATTTCTGTCTACTGGCCTTAATATTCAAAAAATCTTATTAAAGAAAAATATGTGCTTACAATCAACTTAGCTACAGAGAACTCAGCCGATCAGGCAAGGTTGAACAGTGCCTTTAAGCAAAATTCCTCTAGTCATAGACTTCTCAAAATTGTTTTCTTATCTGCTCAGCTTCATCCTAGGAAGAAAAGCAAGAAGAGGCAGAGAAAAAGAAAACGAATAGAAAGACAGGGAGCAGAAGGTGATTGTAGGAGAAGAGGTAGTAAAAAAGAGAGAAGAAAATAAATAGAAGTTGAAGCAGATGAAGAGAACAGGAAGAGAAAGAGGAGGTTGGCTGGTTAATTTTGTTTAGCAGCATATCAACCTTTATGAGTTATTTGATACTGAAATCGAAATATTTTGAGCACAATTGTATGCCTTCAACTACATATAAAATGTACTGTTGATAATTCTACTATAAAATGTATTGTTGGTCATTTTGTTTTAAAAAGGTAGTGGTAATTTTAGTATAAATAGATAGTGTTGGTAATACTTTTTATATAAAAATTTATTGCTGGCATTTTTATACTTTTATAGTATTTTGTTTTTGTTTGGGGGTTTACTATTTGTCCATAACTGAGATCCTAACAGGTACTATCACTCCAGGTGAGGGTCAGGGTAGACCTAGGAACAACAGCAATTAAGAGGTGGTTCTATTGCTCCTCAAAACCTCCAATCTTCCAATCAGAGGCCTTGCTGATGGATGTAGTTTATCATCATATCAAAGACTAAGAGGAGGAGATGAAAAAAAAAAAAAAAAACTTTTTAAAACATTAAAAATTACCTAGTGAGTATACAGTAAAGAACGGTGTCAAGAGAAAACACTGTTTTTTTTTGCAGGTACATTTGTTAAATTTTGCCCATTTTTTTTTTTTTTTTTTGTGTGTTCTATTTGCTGCTCTGAATAGTATTTAATTCTTGGTGGAGGGTGGGGAATTAAAAAGAGAAACATTTCTTACCTCAGATGACACAATATTTCTGGATGATCCAGCGGGCATAATCAGTTGATCCACTGTTTTGGTAAATAAGGGAAAGATTATGGGCAATCTCACGGCTGAGATCAAACAATCCCTGAAGAACAAAAAAAAAAAAAAAAAAAAAAAAATGAAAAAATAAAAGCAATATATAAAATAAATTCTTTTCAGGGAGCTATAGTACAAAGATGGTTAACAAGCTGACAGTGTTTGATCCTGAAAGCTCCACTTGTGTTCAAAATGGCTTCACACAGAATAGCAGAAATTTTCATATTCCTTATTAAAAATGTTTTAAATTTAAACATTTCTAATCCATTACATAAGAGACTAAGTTTAAAAAGGAAAACCCAAGAAAGATTGCAAAACTCATTAACTAATGAGTCTAGGGTTAGTGTGTTGTTTTTGCTTAATGGCATATCAATTTCTATGGGTTATTTAATACTGAAATTTAAATCTTTTGTATGCAATTTTATTTATTTATTTTGGGGAATATTTTTTAGTTATACAAGTCTTACTAATTAGCCCATAGCCTTAAGACATGGTTTTATATCTTCCTAAGGGTATTTTTGTATAAATAAATATAACAAACAAAGCAAAAATTAGAACTTGGTTCTTTGATTAACAATTCTAAGCCATTATCTATTACACCACCTTCACATCCAAACTTACAGCACCTGTTATTCACAAACAATCACCCATCTAGGTACTGACTAGGCTCAACATTGCTTAACTACAGTGAACATATGGGAACCAGTGTTTCAACATGATGTGGCTGTAAGCCCAATGATTCTAGGAAATTATTTTACACCAAAATTAATAGAAGTAGATGGACTCACCCGTCATCCAGTTCACACTCCTCCCCAGTAAATGTTTATCCCTTGTTTCCTGTTTAGGAGTGGGTTTCCGGCTCCTTCTGAAGACTACTTCAACACTATACTCCTATCATCTCTGAGTAATTTTTTTTTCCTATCCAAATACTCCTTCACTGTCTTTTGAACCGAAGTAGAGGTTTGCCCCCCCAAAGTCTACTTCCACACTCTTAGTGCTAATGTTTCCGACTGAACTTTGAAATGTTATTCGCTAATTAAATCTTGACTTCTTCAAATCTGGAGTTAGCTGTTACCTTTCCTGCATAGCTTCAAGAACTTCACTTTTTGCATTTTCTTAAGCTCATACGACACCACACAGTAACATTCTACCTTGAGTGGCTCTTGGGCCTTGTTTTGGGTAAATAATAGTAAAAAAAAAAAAAAAAAAACTCAACCAAGGCTTGAGATATGTTATTTGGGTTAATTATTTTTTCCAGTGGCAAAACAACCAACCAAGGGCGACCACTGTTGGGACCATACAGTTATTGTGAACTCCATGAACTTTTCAAAGGATCAATGACAAAAGCTGTTTTTAATTTTCTTTCACAATTTTTTTTCTATATCTGAACTGGACACAACCTGTTTTAATTTGTTTTTTAAATACAATTAAAAAATTGCTGTTTTTTTTTTTTTTCATTTCAATAAAAATAAATTTGAAATTAAATTGTAGAATTGCTGACCTCTCTTTCACCAACTGCAGGTGGGAGAGCAAGAGCCTTCTTGTAGTAGAAAACCGCAGCATAGGTCAGACCAAGTTGGTGCATGACACGACCCATGTTATACATGGACTCCTGGCATTCTCCTCTCAGCTCCACATAACTATTGAGGAATGAAAGTCCCTGCAAACCATAAAAAAAACACATTAAAAAATTTTTAAAAATAGGAGAATTACAATCAAGGGATCTAACTGGAGTTAAATTCAAAGTTTCAATTATCAAAAAAGTTTCACTTACAACAAAAGTAGAATATTATGGAATTTTTCTGTTCTCTTCAAAGAATGGTGCAGATTTGACTCATTTTTAAATGTTACCTGTTATTATTGTCTTGCCAACAATGATGAGAATATGCAATGATCATGATAAAGTCAAACTACATAAGATTCTCAGTAGTACTAGAATTCAGAGTATCTGGTTAAGGAGTTACAAGATGTTTTCTGTAAGATATTTTTATTTGTTTTAATTTTTTTTCCATTGGAAGCTTCTAGTGCAATGTTTCTCAACTGGTGCCTCCCTGGGTGAAGTAATACGTCCTGAAAGGGTAGCAAGGTGTGCCCCAATTTAAGAGAAGACTAATTTATGAATTATTTTTTATATTTAAAAAAAATCTTTATTTTTCAAAAGATAGCAGTGCTAAGTTAATGGCAGCCAGGTCTAAATCAAGTCTTGATATTTTAAACAAAATGCCAAATTCTTCAATCTTTAATCCTTTCTCATTTGTCTTCCTTATATATCTCATATATACATATAATATACATATATATATATATATATATAATATACATATATAATACGCATATATATAAGATACATATATAATACATATATAATACACATATAATATACATATATAATATGTATATAATATACATATTATAAATTAATTGATTTAAAATATGTTTTTTTTTTCGCTACACAGTTCTAACCATGTTTCAAAAATGGAAGCTAAAAGCCCCAAATTTAATTTTGTAATTAAATTAAAGACATTAGTTCCATTTCATCCTCAAGCGAATTTTGAAGTAACTTTTAAAATTACTGGGTTTTAAAGACACAGCAAAAATCATAATTCATGTTTCCAAGGTTACAGATAAATCCACTTCACTAGACAAGGAGTGTCTGGGTGTTCATTATATATTTAATGTATCAGTTATTAGCTACGTTTTGGTAGGGGGTAGGGATGTATTTTCCAATGAAATCTAACATCCGTTAAAAGCACGTCGTCTGGATTTTTTTTTAAAATTTTATTGTTAACGGCAAAAATTCTTACGACATTTTTTTCCCATTCGTATATTTAAAGATTTTTGGGGAGTGTTTAGGTTAGAATACTTTTTATTTAACTACGATTTGAAATATTATTACTTTTAATTTTTAATATACTATATTTCTTTTAAGAACAATTAAATGTAATTAGAATCCCTTACAGTGTGTAGAATTATTATCACATCAAGTATAAGTATGTAAATTTTTAGGTTACAAATTTTTTTTTTTTTTTTTTATATTTAAATATTATTTAAGTAATATTTATGATGGCAAAATTAGCTACTTAATTTCACTGATTTAGTAAACTTTTATTTTTTATATAAACCTAGTAATATATTGTTTCTCATGTAAAGTACAAAGGACATGGGTCATTCAAAGTTACATCTCAAGCAATATTACATATTAATTTCATTTTACTGTATGTGTTTTATTGGGTTCTTTTAATTTTATGTAGTACTAAGAGGAGGTCTTTAAGTATGGAAACGTTTTATTTAATTGCAATTTAAAAAGAAATTAGGTTAGAATTCATTTTATTTAACTACAATTTTAATTAAAACTTTAAAATATTTTCATTGTTAGTTTTAATAGACTATATTTCTTTTAATAGAAGTAAATGTATTAGAATTACTTACAGTAAGTAAAATTATTTTTCCATATCAAGTATATGTATATTACAATTTTTAAAATTTTATAACAATAAAAACAATAAAAATTTTTTTAAAAATCCAGACGACATGTTTTTAACGGATGTTAGATTTCATTGAAAAATACATCTCTACCCCCTACCAAAACGTAGCTAATAAATGATACATTAAAATATAGACATAATAAACACCCAGACACTCCTTGTCTAGTGAAGTGGATTTATCTGTAACCTTGGAAACATGAATTATGATTTTAGCTGTGTTTTAAAACCCAAATTTTAAAAGTTACTCAAAATTCAAATGAAATGGAACTAATGTCTTTAATTTAATTACAAAAATTGAATTTTTTAGCTTCCATTTTGAAACATGGATAGAAATGTGTAATGGAAAAAATGTCTTTTAAATCAATTAATTTATAATGGATTGAAATTTACATTGAGCACTATTTTGTTAAAAATAAAAATATCTATAAGAACACGGAATATATCTTACTGTTCTTTCTTTTAAAAATATATATATATAAAATATACATATATAAAATTATTAATATATAATATATATGTATATATAACTCTTTATCAGGCTTTATGACTCTAAAAAATAAACTGTTTATACATCCCCTTTAAATAAAAATGTGCTATAATCTTCTTTTGGGAAATATCCAAAATTTTCATTCTAATTTATCATTATTAAAATTTAAATATATTTATTAAATATACATATAAAGTAAAAATATACATGAAAATACTGCTCTAGATATAAATATATATATAATGGATAAAAATATATTAGAAACATATTTATCTATATAGATAAATTAATTTCTATTATCTACCATGGCTTAGAATTCCTTACCAAAATACAAAGAGATTTATCACATAAACTTGAATACAAATACAAGAAGTATTAAATACAAAAAAACAACACAACATCAATCAAATTTATGAACAAATACACTAGACATATGTCAATATACTTGTATTATTCTGAACTGTTGTTCTCATTTTGGTTGATATAGATGTTACTATATTTTAACGTTTTCTACTGTCTGGTTTTCATCAGTGACCATGGATTTTGCTTTTGTATATTTTATCCTAACATTTCATTTATCTGTTCATTCCTGCTGGATTGGTTTCACATTATTATTACAAAAGCAATATACATTTTAAACAACTGTCATTGTATAAAACTATAATACACCACACTATTTTTTAAACATATATATATACAATATATATACTAAATGCAAAAACTGTTTCAAATATATAATCACTAGGA